GATGTTTCAGCCATGAATGTCTGGGACCTCTATCTTACCAAGTGAGCCTCGCTTCGACAGATAATCCTAGTTAGCTTACTGTTATTGTAGTTATTTTTGTCAGCTAATTTAAGGTATGTAGAAAGTTTAAAGTTACTTTCTACTGTTAAGCAGATTCCAATAATTTCTCACATGTATACTTATGTTTATAATTTTTTAATTGCTGTATTATGATAGTATGATGCAAATGTGTTCATTTGTCCTCTTGACAGGTTCTTTGCCCTCAAATATGCTGCTGATTCTGCTTGTACCGTTCTCCGGGTCGACCAAGTAAGTCATCTCTCTTCCCATCAGATCCTCGATCTTCCTGACCAACAATGAAGTTTCAATGTTCAACATTCTATTTGGGTATAATGCTCTTCTCCTTGTCATTTCAATGTGCTTGGTTTGGCAGATAATAATGGCAAAACCAGCAGGTGGCCCAAGGAGAGATGCACCAGCAGGCATGGATGAGGATTAACTTTTTATATAGGTTGAGTGTCATTAGTAGCAATTTTGCAGCTTAAAAAGATTTTGACTATGACAAAAAGGAGCAAACCGCACTTAGGATTAAGCTTATGATGTTGAACTCCTAATTTAGTATCTACCAAGATGAATCTAAGTTCAGAAACAAGGTGGACTAATTCAAATTTCATCCACTTAACGATGCAGTACAGTCATAGCCCTGTGGCTGTTCGCTAAGCTGATGCTCTCGAGTTGCTTATCTAGTGAATTCACTCTCCAGCTTACGAACCATGATCTTAATATTCATATTGTCTCTAACAAAAACTATGCTGACTTCATGGTTGCAGTTTGCTCACTGACACCCCAGGCATCACTGCACTTGCCAGTCTACGATGCATACTCACTGAATTAAGCGTACAAAACTGTAGTAGGATGACAAGAAAGAACAAGGTGCAAAGATCAAGTAGGAACGAGACCCAGCCCAAGCTCATCGTTAGCAGCCTCCATCGATGAAAAGGTTATGGCAAGCAGCACAGCTGATGCAGCCCAGAGAAAACCTAGTGCAGCTGTGCCATACCCGATCCTCTTCCTGCTCTTTAACGGTGGTACTGCGTTCTTGACTTCGTGATATGTTGTTCCATGCAACTCCTGGCTAATGCCGCTTTCAGGGACATCATCAGTAGATGAAACTGATTCCACGCCATCTCGCTCTTCTTGCTCATCATCCTTGAGATCGTTCAGCTTTCCAGCAGTCCCCACACTATCCGAGTTCACTTTCTGAGATTGGCTTTCGCTGCTAAAAGCTCCACTCTGAAGGGATCGAATCGGCTTTCCCGGAGTAGTCTGTATTCTGACATCATCGATCGCCGGCTGCGGCATGGATTTCTGTGACACCGAAACGAAGATCAAGTTTGATGCAATACTGCGGCAGAACACTGAAGTGTTTGAGCTTGTACCTGAGGGCTTGCTAAGGCATCTGCTGCCATGGCGGTCTCACTGTCCTGCGTGAACCCACAGAAGCCTTCTGCCCGCTCTTTGTTGGGATCGTTCAGCTTGAAGTCGATGTGTTTGCCGTCGCTGCCAGAGCAAGCTCTCAGACACAAGCCATCCTTCAAGGATACATCCACCGGGCAGGCGTCATGGTTCCACAGTCTCCTGCTGGTGCGCCGGCCACGCTCGAAGTCGCACGAAGGCTGGGAGACCGAGGCGGGCGATTCGACGAATACATCTTTCTTGATGTACGAGTCGACGGTCTGCGACTCCGGCGAGCAGAACTGGACGGGGGAGCCGCTTCGCCATGGACTCTTCTCGTTCCTCCTGCGGAAGCTCGAGTTCACGACCGGGCTCGCGCCGAGTTCGTGCCTCGAGCCTTCCTGCGCCGCCAGAGGCTTCGCGGTCTGCAGCGCCTCAAACGCTGCGCCCCTTACGAATGGCATCTTGTCGTCAGCATGGCATTTCTCCATGGCATCGACTATCTTGAAGACCTCCGAAGAGATGCTTCTCGGATCGACGCACTTCATCAGGAAGTTAATCATCTGAATGGCCGAGAAGCGTTTCTGGGAGTTGCTCTCCGTGGCACCGGTCGCCAAAATCTGCAGGCCAGATCGCACGAGAGACCTCGAGTAGGCCTCGGCTATGACACCATTGTGCTTCACCAACGACATGACCAGGCCCATATGAGCGTTGGTTTGGGTCACCTTCTCTTCCATGGCCCCTGCGACCTTCAAGCATACCTCGTTCACCATCTCGTCCGAAGCAAACCTCCAATTGCCCGAATCCACGAGGGCCTTGAGGCAGAAAGCGGCCCCGGAGGCGGCGCCCTCTTGCGAGCCCATCAGCGCGTCGGAAAGAGGCTTACAGAGGGAGCAAATTATCCTCGTCTTCTCCTCGTCCGGGGTCGACGGATCGATCCCGTATCGAGCGATCGCAGGGACGACTTTGGAGCAGGCCTGGTGGAGGGGAAAGGATCCTCCGCTGGAGGACAAGGTGCACATGATGGTGGACATGATGTTGTCGATCTGCGGCACGATGCTGCGGCCGTGGACTCTAGCCAGGACCTCGTAAAGGGAGATGGTGCACTCGCCCGCGGGCATACCGAAAGCCCCGTTGGTGTCGGACACCTCGGCGAGGAAGCGTGGGATGGCTTTGGAGTCCAAGTCCTTGGCATAAGATTTCAGAGCTTTCATGGCGGATCTGCGGCTGTCAGCGTCCTTGTCGAGGTTCGCCAGCTCCTGCCGGAGCACCGGGCTAAGACTCCTACCCATAACGTGAGGATCGCTGCCGAAGAAATCAAGCCAAACTAGAACACATCCACCGATTACTAACGACAAAAGGCAAAAAGGAGGAACTTTGCTTGATTAGAGATCAATGCATCAGGTCCAGGGATTAGGACATGACAGTCCAAATCCTGACACAATTAGGGCAAACGAAACGCACCAGTTTCCCAAGAAAGAAGAAGGTCAAAGATAACTTCCACCAGAAACACAAAAGACGCTCTCGGGAGCAGAGATCACACGAACGATGAGGGAAAACAAAGGGTCATTTCCATCTTTCACTGGATTCGGAAGAAACACCTCAAGATCAACCCTCGTTGAGTATCACGAAAGGGGGAAATCGAAAAGACTAACCCGAGTTCAAAAGACAGTAGATTAGATGCCCTTCGTCGCAATCCCGCTTGTTCTCGTAGGAGCAGCAGCTAAGAAGCTAAGGTAAGGAGAGCGGGGCGGAAGGGGCTCAGACAGGAACAAGATGGGAGATTTCTAGGGCTTCGAGGGGGGGTTTATATACCTGACGGATGTGTGTGGATTTGGCGATGGGAGGGAAAGAGTAGCCTTTGGATTTGAATTTTTTTGGCAACGCGTCTCGCGCCCTTCTCCGGTGCGTTGGTCGGGTCCCACCTAAGTCTCTTTGTGCCCTCCTTCTTCTCCATGTAGAGTGTGGATGACAGCACGTTGGCTATACTAAACTCAAATATTTTAGTGTTATTCAAAATGATTTCAAATAAAAAGATTAACTAATAGATTTGTGTGTTATAAATCGATTCATTAATTAAAAAGAAAAAAAAAGATGACCGATGTTTGGAATGATGAGAAAATAAAACCATAGATCTTTTAAGGAAACACTATATTAAAGTAATTTCTTTTATCTCATTCTGAACCTATTAAATTAAATTTGAATAATTAAGTATTTATCAAATATATCCTGAGAGTAGTCTTTTGTAATTCATCAAGATTAACAGTCAAAATTAATCGTAGTATTATATTGGTGTTATAATAGAGCAGAGGCCATGCGAAAAGAAAAAAAAAAAACTCTCTCCTCGATCACGATAGATTGATAATCAAATATACATAACGCATCCATCTAAAACAAAAAATATTAAAACGTTTGATGTGTTTTAACTTTACTTACACATTGTATCCTTTTAAAAAATTTAAAAGCGTTTTACGTGTGTTAAAACATCCCTACGTCAAATGCATTCATCTTCCATGACATTCAAAGTATCCTCTAATTATTTTTTGTATGCAAGTAATAATGATTGGTATTTCGACATGCACAAGTAAAGTGCAATGAGTAAGAAAATGACATATAAAGTCTCTATTAAATATACATAAATTAGAATAATATCTATCTCTATTTAGATATCCGAGTTAATTAATGTATTATAGTGTAAGTAATATATTTCAAAAAATATTCTATTAGACAATTACAAAGCAAACATTATTATATAAAGTGCCCCCCATATATGTATATTTAAATTAGAATCTGACCGAACTAAATTGGAAGGCTCAAATTCCTTCATGTCATTTAAGCTTAAAATGAAGGAATACTGATTTAATCATCATCGAATCGAATATTATTTACTGAGTGTTATTTTTGTTTATTATTCTTGTCCGGATACATCCTAATTATTAGTGTAAACAACTTTATGTTGTGACCTCGGGGCCAACACGGCTTGGTTCGGGTCCGAATGGGCGGGGATCTTGTACGGTGCTTATCGAGCCCGCCGAGGAGGTCGGGTGCGGTGTCCGATCAAGACGGTGTAGCCGTCTCTTCTGGGCAGGAACTCCTCGCCTGCACGTCCGCAGGGGACCTTGGTCCTCGCACCTGCACGAAGGTCGGGCCGAGGTGCTTGGCTCGACCCCTCCGACGATCAAGTTAGCAGATGCGGAGTGGAGTTTGTTGTTTGTCTTCCTCTCCCATTCTCGTTTAGAACTCGGGGGTATTTATAGGGCAGTTTAGTGTTACCTGATGTGCCTGCCTGCAGGAGCAGGATCGTACCTCTGATGGCGTCTAATATTGCCGTTGGCGTTGTGTGAAGAACCGAACTGCCGCAGGGCATGGGCGTGCCTCGGTCACCGTTCTCCTCTGCTTCAGCCAAACGATGAAATCGTTGTCTGAGAGTGGGTAACGTCGGCGTACATCGCGTCGATATTATTGCTCTTTTTGGACAAAGTGTCGTCTAAGTGCGGCTGACGTCGTGGCGTGTCATGTCGTCATTATTACCCTCATCACTAATCATCTCTATGCCATCAATTTATTGGCCTCAATTAAAGTGCTTTCATAGTAAGTTCTTTATTATCAGCAATCAAAATCCTTCTTTATGGAACCTTTACAACTCAATTTCGTTATTATAGCAACACTTTCAGTTCAGAGCAGTGTTTTGTTACGTGACATATCCATCCTTTTGGATTTAGCAGCTTAAGCGTTCTCTCATGGCGGAGACGAAGGAAAGAGAAGTAAGTTGCAGCAGTATAGTGCTACACATATCCACCGTTGATCCGAATGATCTGACCGTTGATCCACTCCCCGGCATCGCTCGCCAAGAACCCCACCACGGGGGCCACGTCCTCCGGCTGGCCCAGCCGCCCCAGCGGGCTCTCCGCCTCGATCGCCTCGATCCGCTCCTCTGACTTCCCGCGGTAGAACAACGCCGTGGCGATCGGCCCCGGCGCCACCCCGTTCACCGTGATCCTCGTCCCCCTCAGCTCCTTCGCCAGGACCCTCGTCATCACCTCGATGGCGCCCTTACTGGCCGAGTACGTGCTGTAGCCCGGCCTCAGCGATCCCACCGTCGACGACGACATCGTGATGATCCGTCCCCCGCCGCCGCGCACCACCCGGTTGGCCGCCTCCCGGCAGCAAAGGAACGTGCCCTTGGCGTTGGTGCCGAACACCCACTCCCACTGCGCCAAGGTCGTCGCGGCCAGCGGCGGGTAATTGGGGTCTTGCACCCCGGCGGCGGCGACGACGATGTGGATCAGTGGGCCGAACGCGAGTTGCGCCCGGTCGAACAGTAGCTTCACTTGTGCCTCGTCTGTTACGTCCGACTCCACCGCGACGGCCCGCGGGCCGGGCTCGGTGCACGCTGAGTTGATCTCCGAGACCAAGCGGTTGGCCGGGGTGGGATCGCCGATGTAGCTTATGACCACCTTGGCGCCGAGGGAGGCGAGGTGGGCGGTGATGACGCTTCCGATGCCGCCGGAGCCTCCGGTGACGATGGCCACCCTGCCTTGGAGCGGCAGCGAGTCCGTGGGTGGACGCGCACGAGAGGCGAAGGAACCGGCGGTTCCGTTGCCCTGTGGCGGCCGGCTCACCTCGTGGGTTGGCGTGCAGGCGATGGAGATCGACGGCGGGGAGGCCATGACGCCGTCATGCTTGGAGCCATGGCCGTTAGGCTTGGTGAGGGCTGCCATCGCTTGCATCGTTCTCACCTTACCCGCGTCTCCATTGGAGCAGTCATGTGAGGTATATATACGCAGAGGAGGGAGTATCGGTGTAGTTTACGCTGCTTCAACGATCGATCACACATGCGAGGACAAAGAGATGGAAAATAACAATCTATGGCTTCCTCTGCTGTGATCTGTCCTCGAAGAAGCGAGGACAGGAGAGGCAAGAAAAACGAGCTGCACGGCACTGCACGAGATCTCAAAGACGGTCTTCCGAGAAGAATCCATGTTCCAGTGTCGGAGCAGTACAATAAAGAGAAACGGAGGACAAAAGATTCGCATGTAAGTTTCTTGTTTTCGTTCGGCCCAATTGAACCGGCTCAACCCACCATTTTTGACAAGTCAATTCTTATTATTATCTAAAAATTTTAATGTTAAAAAATAAAATAAAATAATAATAATAAATCAAATATATATGTAACTTTTTTATGCTATTCAGAAAGTCTTTATCTGATTTGTAGGTAAATAGTCTTCGGACCCGTAAGCTATAATAATGTTAGTCCATACGGGTAATTAGATTTATCTTCTCATCTTTTTCTATCGTTATGAACGATAGAGAGACGATAAAATATCTATAATATCGAAATGACTAGTTGATTAAAGAAAGATGAGAGAAGATATGTAATCTCTCGGTAACGTCACATATTCATGAATCCACATTGGATCCCTAGAAGATCCTATCTATTTATAGATGAGAGAAAATAGTTTAGAATAAATAATTAGGAGAGTCTCTCTTATCAAGATTGTCTTCATTAAAATTTTTTATAATTAAAATTTTTTATTGGTCGATAATCGTAATCATATTTATAATATACCTTTATCTAACAAAATAGAGCTACATAATATAATATTCTTTTAACTAGTAAGATTTTAAAAAATTAAAACCAAAATAAATAAAATAAAATTTTATATTTAAAAATAATATTATTTAATTAGATTTTAAAACTTTTAAAAAATATATATGCATAATTTTTATAAAATAGGTTAATAAATTAAATAAATATAATACCACATTAAATATAATATCTACTTAAATATGTATTAACATATCTTTTATGGGTGTGCTCATAAACCCAATTATAAGAACATATTCTTTCAAATATTTTAAATTGTAAATCAAGTTATTAATATATCAGCAATCAATATAGTAGAACTTAAATTATTAATTAATATTAATTATTTGTGGACTCTTTTCTCTAATAGAACAAATGTATAGAACTAATAGAATATTTATTATTCTTACAAAACAAAATCAATAAGTGAAAGTATCTTAAATGACTCGACAATTGAGTTTGATCATATCTAACGTCTAAGATTAAAATTTTGTAATCATAAAACTTGAATAGTCATTTCAAAGTATACCATAAAATCAATCTTTATTATTGATAATACAATAACACATTATATTTTTCATGTAAATTGCCCCTCTAACTAATATAAATATAAAATATAAAGTAAACTTCATTTCGAGAAGATTCTTTTTCAATATCAAGTTAATCTAATTTTATACATGTGAGCATATAATCCTTTGTTAATTCTAGATATTTTATTAGCCTTTTAGCATTTCATTTATTAGTAACTCTAATATATACTTAGTATTTTAACTACAAAATTGATATGGAGTAGATTTTTTTTAGAATTATCTAAATAGCTTAATTATGTATATCATTATAAATATTATTCTCTTTGATGTCATTTATAATTATTTAAAATATTTTATAAAATAAAAAAAATTTATTATAATTCATATTCCATAAACCAATCATCTAAAGTCTTTTGGCAGCTACATAAAACTTAAGGATATAAGCTAAAAATAATATTCACTAATTTCTTTTATTTAATTTATATCAAGAAAAAAAAAAAGAAGGAAGAGGTTGTGTATGGTTTTTATCATTTCGACTCCCATAAATTACTAAATTTTATATATGCCCTTGGACACGAAATATATCCATTAAAATTTTGCATTTGGGTCTTTTTCAGGGGTATACTTGTGAAGTTCTCAACTTTTGGGGAGTACAATGCGGATAAAAATTATAAGAGCTAACAAGTTTAAAGATTTGGCTGCTGATGGAGAATCTAAATATTTAAATATTGATTTCAATATTATCAATGACTTGAGTAATAGATAGACAAGCACAAAAGAGATTCATCTTAATGTGTAGTTGCATGTTGCAGAACATGCAACTACACATTAAGATGAATCCTTGTGTGCATGTCTAATCCATGAAACTTGCTCAAGCCAATTAATAATGTGTTATTAGGTCAGGATAAAATCCTTATAGATCTAAATATGCTGGTGTGCAATGGCTATGGCAATTAAATGTGCAAGCTTGGGAGATAACATTGGTAATGCAAATGCACGCATGGATTGTATTTTTCTTAGTATTTGTAATATAATCATGATTCAACATCAGTAACATGTCATTTATGGTATGATATAAAGCATAATCAAAATATCATCTATTGACAAGAGACGCACCCTTTCTTGATAAAAATCTATATTGGTTGAAGAGACACATCATATCATCTATATGATGGATCAAAGAGTTTAGTGTCAAGATTATTATAATCAATTAGCAATAGATGTATCATCACAACATATTGGTATACATAAATTCAACATGTTGTCATCCATGTCTCCTTGAGAAGACCATCTTTGCATGCTACAAATTAAGAAGCCATTTCTCATTACATCAAGATCATCTTTCCTAAGCCAAGATTAAATTTGCCACTTGGGCACTCCAAGGAACACAGAAATGGCATCTATTTGACATCAAGATCAATATGTTTTAAGTCCACTACAGAATCCATATTTTGCTGCCAATCTACTCATATGTATCATTCTTTCCGAGTGATGACTTTATGCAGAGTCGATCAAGAAGCTGTCTTTGAGTATATTTCTTTCAGTGTCATTATGCAGCAGATAAAAGTCCTTGCGCAGAGCTTTGGCGATTGCCCTAATGGTGTCTGGGGTTGTTCTACAGCAACCTCCTATAAGAGAAGCTCCAGCCTCATGCCACTTGCTAACATATGAAACAAAATCTTCACCAGAAACACCATTGGATGCCTGTAGCCAGAATCAGACAAGTCAGTAGATGTATTTTTTCATATAATATTGTATATAATCTAATGTCAATAATATGATGTTGACCCAAGTTATGCAGAATGATTCTACAATCAGTGACTTCACTATGATCATTTAGTACGCAGAAGAATGAAAGATTTTGCACCAAATGATCATTATTTTAGCACGACAAATTAGATCAGATGCATATATGGACCATAGTTCAAGGAGTGCTGATTGCTTTATGCAAAGGATGCTTGACATCAGCAACATCATGGGAAGAAAATGTCATGGCATTCAAATTGATCCAACCACCAGTTGATGGCCTCTTAGTAAGGATTTAGCAAGAGGATAATTCTGTTCTGATAGGATGTGAAGATAGGTATATACTCCATTTAGGAACATTAGGAGATTAAGACAAAGTGTGTTTTCTTACTCCGTCTTACCCTTTGATTTATATCATAGTAATGTCAAAGAAGATGAAAAAGAATGATCAGGCATCAGTATTATCTGAAAATTCAAGCTTAAAGTTTCAAGATAGTGAAAACATACCACCCACTCCTTTTTGTCAGGATCATAGCTTTCACCACTGTTTGGATAGATCACGATTAGCTTTTCTGTCAACTATACAAGAGAAAAACCAGAAACACCTCATCACAAACTAAAAAGAGTTAAATAGCATGCCAAATACTGAACACATGCTTCATCCAGGATTGTGTGGGGACATGATACTGTCAAAATGAATTGCATAAAATCCAGTATTTAACATAGAACTACAAAGTATTAACATGCAGCTAAATTTAGGAGCTAAAAGCTTAATTATTCATAGTACCTTCCTGATAGATAGAATTAAACTGTGAATATATCTGGGAGAAGTACAGTTGAATCCAATTGCAACAACATTGTCACAGGAATCAGCTATCGAAGCACAATCCATCAAAGAGTCTCCACTGACAATGTTGATCCCATCATTTGAGGTGAAAGAAAACCAGACTGGAATTTTTATATTACACTCTTGAAGTAGCTCAATATATGCCTATAAAGGAAAGAATTAGGATCCACCAAGAGTATTATATCAAATAAAAAAGAACTGAGTCTCATCTGTCTCTCTTTGCAAGGGAAGAACATTGACATCAATAATAAAAACTTAGTGCCAGATGTAAAATTTAAATCTCTAGCTTATTTTTCCGACAACCAAGCACAGTTGAGGGAAATGTCACTCAGTGTAGGTCAGTGATCATCCCCTTCTTATAACCAAGCCTTTTTCGGTCTTCCCCTACCTCCACCGGCACGGCTAAACTAAATTCATCACCTCACTGTATTAATATTTCGGAGTGATTATTACATAGAAACAATCAAACCATTGTTGGATCAATTATCATTTTCAAGAATAGTAAATATAGAATAATCAAAGTGCTAAAAATAATGCAGGATAATTTGCAAATATATATTGAGCACAAGCATGCAATCATTGCTATGCTAGTAAGCTAGAAGTGGCTGAAACTGACATGTTTCTTCAATGATTTGGACTCCTTGTTCGGAGGAGCAAGTTATTTGGAGAAGAAAGTTACTTGAATGTTTTGGTCTCCTTGTTTGGTGGAGCAAGTTATTTGAAGGAGCAAGTTACTTGAATGTTTTGGTCTCCTTGTTTGGAGGAGCAAGTTACTTCAATGCTTTGAGTTGTCAACACGGTTGAATGTCACATTGAGACTTAGTACCAACTCAAGTCCAGGAGTAATCCGACGGGTGTGGATTAGATTAAGGGACCTAGAAAATTGACCACTTTGTTGCAGCAAATTACTTCATAACACCACACTCAGTTTCTAAAAGTTTTTGTTTGCCTTATCTTTTCGAAAACATATGAAACTATTAATGTTTATAAAGTGCTTGCAGTACTAAGTCCATTACAGCTTTCAGGAAAAAATGTATCAGAATGTATGTATCAAACAATACCTGTGCTTCAATTTTACATGGAATTGTCTCAAAAGCAATTATATCTGCTCCAGCTTCAGAGAGAACCTGAAGTCTTCTCCTGTGGAAATCTTTGAGCGTCTCCAGAGTCACTTCGAGGCCATAATTACCACTGAAAAATGAATCGAAAATGATCACCGTAACTGGAGTTAGATCATCTAACGAAAGGTACCATGTAAGAAGAATAACCACGATGAACATTAGAGGTTGCACCTATACTCAGAGCCATCTGCCAAATATGCTCCATAGCTTCCTATCGATGCTGCAATCAGAACAGGGTGTTGCTTAGAACTGATGCCGTCCTTGCTGCATCTATCGGAGGCTCTAAGGCGTCGCCCCTGAAATATCTCTCGTGCTTCGCATGCAAGCTCGACGCTTCTCCGCAACAAGGCCTCACTTTCCTCCGTAGAGAAGCCTCTAGACTCGAAACCTTGTATGGTAGCCTGGTACACACGAAGTGATCAGCGCTCACCATTATAATGCTGCGAGATGTTGTCACCAAAGATGGATGAGAGAACCTGATAGGATGCGGTGATCAAGATGTTTGCACCAGCTTCAAGATAGTCTAAATGGACCTGCAAAGGTATGGAAGGCGGTAATCAAAGAAAGGGAACAGATTGTGCTGCTTGCAAGCAGTGGAATCGAAGCACCTATCACCGTACTCTGTACGATGGATTTGTTCGGAATATAAAGATCATGATAAGTTGACAGATTGCCACAACATGGGCAAACACAACACGAGAATGCTGGAGAAGGCCGACGAATGGGAATCTTTTTGTGCCAAACTACATTGTAGACCGCAGTATAGAAAGATGGGAAGTCTATTAAGGATCAGGGAGAAGAGAGGGGAGATGCCTTCTTGATGAGGTCGGGGGAGGTGAAGAGGTACTTGGCGCTCCACAGGGGGTCCTTTAGGTCGGCTCCATGTGCTTCGAGCTCCGTGGCCAGCCCGCCGTCGATGACGGCGCATCCACCGGCCTCCCTGAGGAACTCCCGCATCAGACGGGCACCGAACCCCGTCCCACGGTGCGTGCCTGCGTGCGCGTGCGAGAGAGAGAAGGGCGCGATTTCCACTTCCCCGGCCGCCATTCTCACGGAGGCGGAAAGGATGGGATGGGATGGGTGGTTCCCGAAGTTGGTCGCGTGCGTGGGGATATATAGGGAAGAGATTTGAGTCCGCCCTCGGTAATTCTTCTGATTCCCGGAAGGGTAAGATGGGGTTCATGAAACGCCCCCGTTGCGGCTATTATGGGAAGAAAAACAGAGCTGTATCGGTGGCGTTCCCTTCACAAACATCCTCCATCCCCAATCCTGTGATTTAGTCGACGACTACTTGTTGATCTTTGGCTGGTCCTTGGAATTTGATGTGGCTGTTCCACCAATGCGAAGAATCGGAATCGATTCATTTGTGGATTCAAGACACTTGGGGATATATATATTTGGGCACTCGGGGAAACAGAGCTTGTACTTCTTTTCTTTTGGTCTTCGTTGTGTTTCTTCTATGTTCAGAGAAGAAAATTGGGCGGATACAATGAATCTAGGTTGCATGTATGTAGATGGCTTTAGAGAAGAAAGTGAAAGACGTCCAGAGTCACTGTACCGTGAATACAAGAAAATATTAAAAATATTCATATGTAAAATGAAGAAAAATATCCTAAGAGGATAGTCTCAGAACTTTAATAATTAATAAATTAAAAAAAAATCTTAAGTTTTTGAGTTGAAGGAGTCCCCATCAATATGTAAGCAAAAACAACAACACCTAAATCACAAGAGACAACTGACACAAGCTCTTCTATCTTAGTTTTCTATCATTTCTGTTCCTTTTTCTCATCTCTCTTCTCTCTAAAGCGTATTCTTTTTTTATCAGCATGTTTCGCATTGATGCTTTAACTGCTGCTGCAGCTGCTGCTAAAGCTGCCTCTTCCATGGCAACATCAAAACTTCCCTGCAATTCTGAAAGGAGTTTCTTCCCTCCTGGTACTTCATTGTCTTCCAAAGTAATAGGATCATGGCCATTGTAATCTGAAGGGTCTTTGTGAAAGCCAGACATGACCCTAATGCGGGTTGGTAACTGGGTGGCGCTCAGGGTAGGAAGATTTGAGGCACCCATCACCATCCACAAGCGTTGTGTCAAGGAGCTCAACACCATACTGGTCGGGAAATAATTATCTTCCAAGGTAACAACCTAAAGGAAATAAATAAGAAAAAAAGTAAGAACGTAAGAAATTATAAAATAAACATGTTTCAAGAAATCTCAATTTTCCATTACCACAAGGCACGGAAAAAGATTTAAAGCTCGTGGGAACATAAAATATGATATATAATGTACTAAATGGGCACATAAAATAAAATTTCTCCTAGAAAAGATGGGAAAAGGTCAGCTGAGAATCGATATAATAGCCTCAGAAGCTTAGCAGTTGGGTAGGTGAATAAGGTAATGTGGAAGCAAATCAAAGTATAATCCAACTTAAAGCTCATATCCGAAATCGATAATATGTATATGGATAGTCTGCTGACCGGAATCTTTTTCCCTTTGGCTTTTGTTTGGTTAGTAAGCATGTACAGCAGTTCGATGTGCATGTAACATCTATCAGCTAATTATATCTCTTGGTTAATTTTTTACCTTGGCAACAGAGAGAGTTCTATCTGAAAAACCACAACTCAAAAGCACAATCCCACGCAAACTGCAGTACCAAATATCACCATCTTTCAAATTATGGTACGTATGTTTCAGCCAGAATTTCTAAACGAAAATTTTAAAAAAATGTCAGTGAACTTACCTCTGAATGGCAACAGCAATTATCGAACCATCAGAAGAGATACAGAGATCAGTAACTGGTGGATAACCATCCTCTGTCCCATTGTACTGTAATGATCCTACCTTCAAAATGAAACCAGTAGGCTCTCAGATAAAAAGAATAATAATTTTGCTGACTCAAAAACAATGATAACTAGCTAACCTGTCATGATGAATACTTGAAAATTAAGAATGACTAAAGAACAACGTAATAAAAGAATGTGAGCAGATGCATGTCATCAGGAGATACAGAATCAAAGCCAGCAGAGAGTGGTATAAATGATCTAGGTAATTGAAAGAAAGACCTTTCATCACAAATGAAATATGAAACACTATACAAAATGTAAATCAATTAATTCAGATGTGTATTTAGATCTTTATGAAGCACCATTTTAAGATATAAAAAATTGCTAAAAAAGAAAAGGCTCTTCTGAGTCTCGTACACATGCTGATAATAGATGTACCAATATGCAATTGCATTGTCTCCTATTTTTAATGTAGTCAGTTCACGCCAACATATCCAACCAAAATAATCTTGCATAAAGGCACAGCTCCAAGCCACAAGGATTCCGTCGATCCAGGAAAAAACTAGAAAATTTTCACTACCAGCTCCCCATTTGCTTTCATCAATCTATGAACTGATACAACTCAATGGACATCTCATTTCTAAGCCAAATGGAGTCTTTCTAATTCAAATGTATTTGCTAATACAGTTGGCAAATTGGGCTAGGTGTCATACCTTTATCCCAGCGCTTAAAAGTCATAAAATCTGTGAGTACCATAAACAGTAAACTTTAGCCTCAGCATTTGTAGATAATGAGGCATCATGACAATTTCTTATTAAAAACAGTACAGAAATTGATATCATTTCCTTGCAAAAAGAAAATTCTCTACATAAAAATAAATAAGCTTAGTCTATGTTACCATTGCCCCAACTTCACAAGTAGCAAGTAGGAGTCCAGAAATGAAGTCCCACAACCGAACCTACAAAAGGCAAAACACCATATAAATACATGCCAACAACAACATTTTTCATATTCCTAGATGATTTTTTGCACTCACAGTTGAATCACCACTTCCAGAAAAGAGAAAACCATGGGCACATCCTGGAGGACATGCAAAAGCAAAACAAGAAACAAAGCTGCAAAAAAGAAACCCAGTTATAATGATCTGTTATCCAACAGCCATTTTAAGTGAGATCTTACACTAATATATGGAGGTATGAGATTAAAGATGTGATGTATGTGTGATGTGCTCAAATACTCAGCCTACAACTGGTTTATGGACTTACTGTATATTATAAACTGGCTGCAGAAGTTCAATATAATGTCTTAAGACCTGCTATATTACTCATTACAATATAAAGGACAACTGTGCTATACGCAAACTAATGTTTAGAAAATCATTAATCTGCATTTTGTAGTGCAAAATAAAGTTATCAAGACTTGGGAAAATGCAAGTATATTGGAGAACAGAAAGCTAAAAGTAAATAACGAAAACAATGTGGATATGACATAGAATCCATGCTCACTCTTTATGACCAAGGCAGAAACTCTGAATTTCATGTGCTCCTTTTAGAGGTAGTTTAGGAAAAACCGTGATCTACAAATGGGGAAATGAGATTACACAAGAAAATTACCGTAAGAAATTCTAGAACACTTTAAGAAGTTTATACATACACGAATTTTGAAGTCACGATCAGCACTTGCAATGAACCTTTCATCTGGCGAAAATTCCTGCATATTGAACAACAGAAAAATAACCAAAACTATATGAATAATCAAAATTAGACCCTATGGGGCAACCAATAATTAGCATATTCTGCTTAAAATACATGAGCAATTTCTGCTTAAAATTTAAGATCCGATAGAGTAACAAGGCTATCTTCATTAAACTAGTTAGCATATTTTGCTTATGGACTTCTGAGATGCACAGCAGAGGCAATATCTATCTGCTTTAGTGATCATTGTGCAAGGAAAATATTGACTTCATAGTAGACTTAGAACTTGTGAAATGGTAGTATGTGGAAAAATAATGCACTGAACTTTCATTTGAAAAAAAATATGTTGAACACACAACCCCAAAAAAAAAAAAAACCAGAATAAAGCTCCATTGATGTCAATGACATGACAAAACGTTAATATTTACAAACCCAATGAAAATAGCATGAGCATGTGCATTATCATTTTTAAAGTACTAGAAAAAAAAATAAATAAACATGGTGTGCCACCCGCTTAATTATGGTACATGGCAGCTAAAACTAAGGGTCCAATCACATAAATTTTACTAGATCTAATAGATATAAGCCAATAGAACATGAATAATATCTATAGCAGACATCAATAATATTAAAAGTCATCTAGTTCAAACAGAATAAAATAACAATTAAAAATACCATCTAATAGCACAGCAAAGCGGATCCATTGAAGTTATGCATGAAATATGGGGAATTCTTTTTGGTGGAGAAAAGAAAAACAAGGAGACAGTACAAAGAAAATAAAGTTAACCTTATCATGAATATTAAGAAAGTGGGTTGATAAAAACTCATACCAGCCTAGTAATGATGCTGCAGTAATGACCTAGAATTGGCACAGCCTTCTTATCAACTTTTGTTTGTTTAGCATCATCTTCATCCAATCCAACTAACCAGACAACTCCAAACTTATCAGCAAAAGCAGCATATCGCCCACTGTGGCTAATAGCAACTGCACTAACTCGTTTGTCTGCAGACCTGGATATTAGTTGTTCACAGCAATATGAATATATAAAACCTTCACGAACAAGGGGTATTTAATAACAGCAAAACAAGGAAAAAATAAAAAAAATTGATTAACATAACTATACATAATGAACCTACCCAGTTGACAGTTACAACAACATAATCTTATAATTATATAGTGATTAGATCCAATTTCCCAGAAGGATCTGTGTCTAAATTGTATAAACGAATAAATTTTCATCCACTAGAATACCTGCACCATACCATCTTCAACAACATAAAAATCTGGAGTAAAAGTCAACTAAGTTCGAGTCTGCTTATGCATTAAAATGAACATGAACGTATGTGCTAGACTAAGCAGCTATAACTCATTGTAGTCTACATCCAAATATTGTTGCATGAACAAAATTTAGGGACACCATTTCTTATTAAAATATGAAACAAACCGAAACCTTGATATCACAGTAGAAAGTTACTATTGTGTGAGAACTTGAGTTATAAGGTAGGATACATCGAACGGTACTGTCTCTAAGGATTTAGGACTTCAGTTGTTAAATGTATCAGCTAAAAATGCCATCTCACCAAGCAGATACTTAAGGGCCAAGGATGGTTTTTAGACAATAAGTTGATATCATTATCCTATTGATACAGTTTAATGAAACCCTAATGATGTTAGGAACATCAGTCATTTCACATATTTCTAAAATTTAACAAGTAATCCATGATACAGTTCACACTGAAAACAGGAAAAGTCCAATTTTTTTCAGTTTACAAAATCAAGATGCCTTTGCATATGCCTTATCTTATTTTATCAAGTGTCTGTATCAGCCTTAAGATGACATAACACACGTGCTTCATACTTGATTACATATTTGAATTTGCATAAAAAATACATAATAAAATTACATCCCCACCTCCACCCAAAATACATAGGAAAAGAAGAACAAGCAGTTCATCTGAAATTATGCATTGAAAAAATTCAGAGCCTAAAACTCACACAGTATGAATGCAATGCCAGGAACTTGTTTCCCATATCTTGACAAGTTTGTCATCTCCGGCAGATGCAAGAAATTTTCCACTTGCACCAAAGTTAATTGATCTAATTGCATCTGAATGGGAAGGGCCACTGGGATCATCTATCAATGAGACTGAGCAGTTACCCCTGTTGGGAACAAAATAAAGGCAATCATAATATATATATATATATATATTATTGATATATGCCCAAAAGGGCTGATAATGCTTCCAAATTATGGTCTATCATAAGTCTGTCTCTTACTATCGTTCCACCTGTTAGAATTTCAACCATTGACATGTTGCAAAACTTCATTATGACCATATAGCAGTGTCCAAGGTTCGAGTAATAGAAATAACCAACCTCTGCTTGCAAAGGTAAGGCTATGCACATTGATGCTCCGCAGACCGCACAGTGTCAGGGAGCAGCCTTGTGCACTGAGTTTGTCCTTTAGGGTTCAAAAAGCAACAGACAACTACTCAAAGAAGAATCTTCTTATGGCTCAAAGACAAGACATCAGTAGCAAACTTAAAAGCGACCTATCACCGGATTCTTATAATTCTAGTCAAAATTCAAATGTCAAGTATGACATAACCATGAATAATCATGTTTCGATAAAGATATCTTGGAAAGCTTACTCTAAATTGAATAGTCGAAGCTCAGAACCCACTGCAACAACAACTGATTTCTCAAAAGGATGAATGGAGATAAGTGCAGGAGCGACTTCACCATCCATATTTTTCTCTTCTTCAATCAAGCCATTTTCTACATCCTATTCCCAAATGAAAGTTGTGTAAGAAATCAAATATTTAAATGCAACAAAAGGAACGTTTAGCTTTTAAGATATTTTGGCAATAAAATAATGGCATGTGCCTTCTTTTTTCTTTTAGAAACAAGAACATGTCAAGGGAATATAACATTTGAATTTGAAACTACATTTGCTGGGTCGGACATGCAAGCCTTGTGAGATTTAATTTATTCGAAAGGTTGTTTCTTAAAAAGGAGCACCCGCATAACAACATAGCTACAACATTTGAGAACTCAAATGACATGGAAGTTAATCTGTATCTAGAATAGAACAGTTAAGTACTATCCAACATGATTTCAATCAAAACAATACAAATCCATATATGGTGAGGCACTTAACCCGTTAGCTTGTGGCCTCAATCTTGGTCTACAAAATGTCCTACAAATATGATTAATGACTAAGATTTTCTTAATTGTGCAATGGGCCATTAGAAAAGAAATAATAAGGGACTATAAGTGATTAAATTCATAGTACAAATTGATCTTTATGAATATCCAAGTCAATTATTTGTAATTCATATATACACATAGTGATCATTCTTTTTATGAAGATTTTCACATAACATCAACATTTTAGTGTCCAAGCAATTAATTAGTTAAAGCAAGGTCAGTAGACACATTAAAAAAAAAAAAGAGTATGTCTTGGTGTTTAGGCAAATTAATTTGGTTATACCAGGACTTGTGAAGTCTGATTAATGTGGGAGGATCACAGTTATGTTTACAACTTATCTCTCTAAAAAACAGCCCGACCTGTACGCTCGTAACATGATAAGATCAGAATCTGAGCTATCCTGATCACACCTCGGTGCAATTTTCCGTAAAGGTGTATGCTATCGAGTAGCCCATGAAGGGTTTTCTTTTAGATTATCTCTGAACAAAAGGGTTTTTCGATTAGTTTTGATGGTTTTCTTTTAGCTTAATCCTCAAGAAAAGGGTTTTCTAGTAGCCTTGATGAAGCAAGTAGGTTCCTAGATGTCATTAAAAGACTGTATAACAAGAAGGTGAAAAGAGAAGTCATAAATTTATGTAGAATTAATGATCTCAATCGCACTCGTAAAATTACACAACCGGGTGTAGGATTAACTTGGTGCACGGATTTCGATCGGATCAAGTAGCGTTAATGCAGAAGAAGGGAGTCAGCAAAGAGCCAAATCCAAGAGAAGGACGAGGACCAAGATTAAAAAGAGCACGAACCATGGTTACCGCTGCAGGAGCCGCTTCGTCGCCGCCATCGGAGACAATCTCCGTCGTCTCTTCCATGGATGTCGGGTTTGCCCCTGGCGGCAGCTCCTCTGCGTTCGACGCCAACCCAAGAAGCGAGGAAGAGAACGCGAGGGATGGGAATCGAAAGCTTAGCACGGCGCGAAACCTTTTGATGAGCTCGTTCGCCCTAATGTCGAACGGCACGCGGCATACTGGGCCACGTGTACCGCTCCCTCGGTCACGTGAAGAACACGAGTGGGGAAGGAAGCTGTTAACGGGTCGGATCGGGTTGATATCGGGCACAGTCCACCGTTCAATTCGTTGAAGATGGACGGTCCAGATTAATCCAATATCCAACCCAAACCACCCGCAAACCCCCAGTCGCCATCCACCGATATATCCCTCCGCCGGCCCGCCGTCGTCCCGCTCAGCGTCGCGTGCCTTGCAAGGGTGTCTCTCTCCTTCTGAGCTTGAGAGATCCCGCGACGCCAGCTCCCTCTCCGCCACCCCACGATGAAAACGTAAGCCCTCTTCTTCTTGGTGATTCCTTTCTGATCCTGTTGTTGGAATCTTGCTAAAGAAACGATCTTGGTGCTCCATAGATTACAGGCGAATGCTGGGGTGCTCACCAATCTCGAGGTCCTCGAGTTCTTGCGCGCGAGAGGGGCGACGAGTGATCCCATGGGCTGCCTTGGTGCTGTTGCCCCGTCCGAGTGCAAGGTGACACTCCCACGCCCTAAATCTCGTCGTCTAGCAATCCTGGTGACGGTATCTTGGTTCTGGTGTGGGCAGGTTTTCGATTACCTTGTAAACACGCCTGCTTGCAATCAGACACGGGGAGCAATCGATGAGTTCTTGAAAAGATGCGAAAAATTCAAGCTTGCAAAAGCTGAGAAGTTCAACATCATCAACTTGAGGCCATCCAACCAAGCTCTGATCGATCCGGTATGTCTTGTTTTTTGAAACTAATTGGTACTGTTATGTTTGGTATGTTAGAATGTGTGAGCTTGCATTTAGGTATTGCGATTATTTACATCAAGCTTTGTCAACAATTATCAGCTGTTGCATACGAAGAACCATGTTAATTGTTGACTAATTATGCATCCAGCTTCTATTCAAAGGAAAACTTCTGTTCTTCCTTGAGGTGATGATATGTCTGCATTGTAGATTGCTAAATTATATGACCTTGGTGTACCTGCTCCATGATAATTTCATGTGATGACTCCCTTGAATATTATAGCTTCATGAGTTCTTTTAAGTAACTTTCTTAACTTAGGCTCCTGGACTTCTTAAGATTAACCTTTATTATGGTTAGCTGGAGATAGTTTCATCATTGTGAATTACTCAAACAAATAAAGAGGGTCCATTTGAACTATTTGCAACCAACTTAATAAAATCATTTGCAGGATTGTGTGCGTGTGCGTGCGCACATGTGTGTAGAGAGAGAGAGAGAGAGAGATAATGTCAAGTTTTCAACCAACTTGATGATTCTATTTATTTTCAGAGAATGCATTTAGAGTTAAAAGAGTCTTTAGGTAACCATCAAGGAGTTAACACAGAAACCTTAGGAAGGACCAATATTCAAACCCAAAAAAACCAAGTTTGAATAAATGATGCATTCAAAAGGCTCATGACTTGTGCAAGAAGTGATGCATAAATCTGCATGTCAAGAGCAATCAAAAGGCTCATGAGGTTGATTTTATCAAGATCTGAGAAAATATGGTAAACTATTATTCAATATCAACAAAATCTCTGAAAACATATGAAATTTTGGTTTTACACTCCTTAAAGCCCGAGGACTTCTAAGTTATCTTTAACCCTGAGTACCCTTTGCACACGAAAAAATAAGGAACCTGGAGTTGGCATAGATGAGTGAAGTTGTCGATGCAGTGAAATAGAAACTAGAAAAATAAACCATGGTGGATACACTCATAAAGACCTGTGCCTCATTGAAAATCTTAAACCTATCTATTTTAAAACAGGAGGTGCAATGAACCATTTATATTCCAAGACTCATCTCTGAGAATCGTCAAAATACTTACCATTGTTCAGTTATCAAAGAACTTTCATTAGGATTTACTATGCCTATACTGTTAAGATGTTGCAGCTTTTATCCAAATAATGCATGCTTCCACTATTGTCTTCTGTTCTAGTTTTAGCTCGTTCTAGTTTTTACTCTAAAACTTGATATCCTAAAATGATTTGATTTGAGTGTCCGCCTTTATTAGACATCATTGTCGGACTACTTTTGAAGCTACCATCAGTTTTTGGACTGGTAAATCTACCCAAATATATGTGCTAAGATATTAGAATATGCTCCATTCATTTCATGACAAATAGTTTAAGAGATCTGTTTCTTTTTCCATCATCCCTTTGTTCGTGCCTTCTTACCTGTGCAGATTATCGAGTACTGCGAGAAGCGTCTTACAAAAGACGAAGCCCGAGGGATTGATGAAGTTCAGGAGCTGGTGGATTCAGTTCTTGAGGTTTTACCGCCACCTCCAGCAAAGCCTGATGAAGAAATGCAGGATCTTGAAGAACCACCAACTGCGAAGCCAATGGAGGAAAATTAGTTCTTTTTTTTCTTCTTTCTGCAGCATGTGTGTTAATTCTCAAAACCATTGTGCTAATGCCCCAATTTCCTCTCCCCCCCACCCCCTTCTCATTTTGGATTCTGATTTTTCCTCAATGATTGATTGATATAGTACATTCATCTTTTTTAAGCTGTGATGGGAGCATCATCAATGTTTCTTCTGGTTGCTTAGTTTCCTCTATCAACATGATGCGAATGGCCCAAGAATCTGACACAGATTGATGCTGGAAAACTTGTCATCATCAAAAGATGTTACTGTTCACAGCTTCAATGAATCCTGGCAGCCAGAAGCACCTGCAGCATTGTGTTTGAAGTTGAACCAACCGAGCGCGTGAAGTTGTCACGGACCCCATCAATTCCTTGATTCATAACAAGTCCATACGATGATGGATAGTTGTTAAGACTGTTTATATTTCTCTTAAATCAGTCTTCACACAAAAGCGACGGAAATAGTCTTATTAGTGAACAAATGTGTGTGGCTGATGAGTCAGCACGATCAGGTCCACGGGTCGATGTCCGGAATCTTCTGTCAGTTGAGTTGGGTGCCGAGGTCGACCGGGCCCTCGTGACGGGGTGTTGATCAGTGTTCCTTGGTGTGCCGATCCGGGCGTCGTGTATGTCGAGCTACGTCTCTCCTTCTCCGGGGTGGTTGACAGCTTGTCTTCGTGAGGTGGTCGCGCCCTCGGGAAGGAGTGTTGGTTAGCGTTGGTCGGGATCCAGACCGATGGGCTGTTCTCCTTCGTGCACTGGGTGGCAATTCCCAGGTGGTTGACAGTCCGTCTTCGTGAAGTGGTCGTATTTTCCTACGAAAATGGCCCCCGTCGGGATCACCCGATGGGGCCCCTCCGACGAGCAAGTTAGTGGAGTGATCAATTGATTTTTCTTCCCCCTTTCCTGGATCAGGTCGGGGGTATTTATACCTGCCTACGGGAATTGGTCGGGCCCTGGTCCGGCATGGCCGTTGACTCTAGGGGTGGAACCACCTCTCTGACGAGATGGCATCTTCAGGGGTGCTCGAGCGACGTCAGACGACACTGCCCTAATAACATACGACACCGCCCCCAGCTCTTGGGGTGGTCAGGCCGCATAGTCGCAACGTTGGAGCTTGACATGGCATGCACCTCACGGTTCTAGAGGCGTACGGTATCGTGTCGATCTACAGCGACTGTCGATAGTTCACATAGGGTCAAAATACACCCAATCAAGTTTATATCAAATTGGCTTGAGATAATTGCCCCTCTCACTAATTTATTTTGGGATATTGTGCATCGGTTGACTTTCTATTAGTACTTATTATGATGGTCGATGATATACCTAAAACATTATTAGTCTATGATGGGCGATGGGATGGGTGGGTGATTAGGGATGAGGCAACAAGAATGACAACTATATCACCTTGCGATGAGGTAGAGGCGATGAAAGGAAATGGTGACATGGTGCTATGCTAACGATCACGAGCAACTGGTGAAGGGTAAGGTGTGACAATAACACTACACGTTACGAGCGAAGTAAGAGGTCGTGGAAAAGACAATTATAATGTGCCGACGATCAAGGGCAAAATGATAATAAAGAGATATTTTTGTCGAAGTAATAAAAAAAATGATATCCCTCCGTGAAAATCAATTAGGAGACATCCTTTAGTAAAAAAAATCTATTAGTAAGAATTTTTTTAAGTAAAATACCCATTAAACAATGATAACAAATATTTTTCAACATACATGTTACATGTTATTTCTCTAAGTTATGGTTATATATATATATATATATATATATATATATATATATATATATATATATCAACTGAACTAATGACCATTATAGTTAACAATATCATACATCATGATGATAATGATGTATGAATAAGATGACTCGAGTATAAAATTCTTACCATATTTGAGAAGGAAAAAAAAAAGTGGGGAAATAGATGCTTCAATATGCTTGTGACTTATTTTTGTATCGAACATTATAATTGCTTGACTTGATTCCTTCTGCAAAATTATAGCTTATACTGTATCAGATGCCAACGTGGAACTCTCATCCTATAATTCTACTTTACTTGCTTCCCTTAAGCTGGGAAATACCCACCGTGGCCCCCGCACTTCCGTGGCAATGCGACCCCACACCGCCGTGGGCGAGCGCGCGTCACCCACTTATCCTGACCGCTCGCTGGAACCCCCACGTCCGCCGTGGGCGCACCCACGTGAGGGTGGGCCCCGAGACGTCGGTGTCGGAGGCCTCCGGGTGTCAAGACACGCGTTAGGATGGGGGTGTAACAACGGGCCCCGAGCGGTCTGCACGTGACCCGGATTTCGTCCCATGCCGCTGACGTCACCTGCATACCAATAATGTCTCCAATTTACCTTACGCATAAATCGCATGTAAAGTACCATCATGTGCGTTGTAACGCTGGATTGATCATATCCGAGCGCCGCGATTGGCTCAGTACGTGCTACTTCGTCCAACCAGCCGTACGATTAATCTACCTCGCTGGCAACATGTCACGGTCTACGCGGCAAAGCTTGTTGCATGCGTAGGCTTTTGGGTGATCGGGGCGACGGGCGGGGCCAGGCAGTCACTGGTGGGAGCGGCGGACAGACGTGGCGGCATGGGGTTGCGTCGTCCACCGGATAAAATAAACCGGCCCCCAACGAACGGGAGACGCCGCGGCCTAACCCCATCACGTTTGAGTTTGTTTCCGAGTACATTGCCTCTCTCGAGCTATTTTTCCCTCTTTGAGGTAGCTCCTGCGATCGCACTGCGCGCGCGAGAGAGAAAGAGATATGATCGACTCTTCTCCCGCTGCTATTCCTTTGATGTCTACTCCTGCATCCGTGGTGGCCGGAACCCCGGCCGATCACGGCGGCTTGCCTCCTACGAGCGCCGGGGAGATTGTGCCTCGGTCGCCGCTCGAGAAGCCCCTCGCCGAACTCACCGAGAGGGACATCGCGCAGCTCACCCGCGAGGACGCCCGCCGCTTCCTCAAAGCCAAAGGTCTCTCTCTCTCTCTCTCTCTCTCTCTCTCTCTCTCTCTCTCTCTCTCTGTGTTCCTGCTTTGTCGGGGGGGACAGTGATGGGGGAATCGATGGGCGCGTGTAGGGATGCGGCGGCCGTCATGGAACAAGTCGCAGGCGATCCAGCAGGTCATCTCCCTCAAGGCCCTCCTCGAGGGGACGCCGGGATGCGACGACTGCCCCGCTGGCGTCGGAATCTTTCAGAAGTCTTCCTCTCCTCCGGCGCCGGTGTTCCCCTTGCAGGTCGTCATCGTCTGTTTTTTCGTATCTCCACAAAGTACCGAAGTAACGCCCTTATTCTCACCCCATTTCTTGCTTCTTTTCAGCAGGACTCTTCTCCTCCCTCACCGAAGTCCGGCGGCGGATCGCAGCTGCCGGCAAAGGAGTCGTCACCGTACCGGAGGAGGGATCCGATCCCTCCGTCCTACTCCGCCGGAGCGGACCCCCATCCCCTGCCGGAGATCCGCTGCCTCTTCCCCAGGTTCGTCTCCTTAAGCATCCCCAACTGGACCCCCCAAAACCCACCCCCTCCTCGCACCGCTAACGTGCGCCGGGTCGCGGTCCCCTCTCTTTCACCGGGTTCACCCCTCCGTTCCTTGTGACCCTTCATCGTCGATCCGACGACCCAGATCGTCCGCCCCAGTACGTGATTACTTAATCGAGCAAAGGAGCTCATCGGTAGGCGTTATGTCCCATGGGTGGGCCAGCGCTCCTCTCCGCATAGGGACGGTGCCCGTCCCTATGGGCGTGTCGTGAACGTTGATGACGGTTTATGCGTCTCTGTTTTCAGGGCGACGGCCGAACTCCCGGCCGGGCAGATGACGATCGTCTACGACGGCGTGGTCAACGTCTACGACGGCTTGCCGATGGATCAGGTAAGTTCAAGAATCTCGTGTTCGCCCGTCACTCACGACGCGTTACACGCTGACACGGCGCCGCTTTGCCTCGCAGGCGAGGGCGGTCCTGGAGCTCGCGGCCAGCGCGGTCTGCTTCGACGACCTAACCCGTCCGGTTTCTCCGGCCTTCCGCCCCACCTCAGTTGTCCCCGAGCAGGACCCGGTATCGGTCCCCACAGCGCCCTCGTTGGCCAAAACTTTCCCAGTAGCAGCGTCGGGTAGCCATCGACTGCCGTATTGTGCAGATAAATCCTGGCCTTGTGATAATATCTGACCGGACTGATTGTGATGCAGGCAGGGTGGCCCACCACGCGGCGGGCGGCTTGGAGGAACCGAGAGGCACGCGGCCAGCGGAGCCTGGTAAGAGAGCGGGGAATTTGTGGCGGGTAAAGTTTGTTTTCTGATTCGATCATTACTGATTGCGACACACATTTTGACACCCTAGTGGGATCCTCGAACAGTATCATCCTGTGAGAGGCTGTCTCAACGTCAGGCCCCCCAGTGTGTGATGGGTCGTGCATTTAATGATTTAGGGCGACACTTGGTTCCCTTACCAAGGAGAGGACTGAGACTGGGATGGAAATGGGAGCGGGTGATTTTTTCCCTCGTGTTCTGTCGGGACGGACAGAGGCGTCCTTTGGAGAGGACTTGTGTTTTGCTTATTAAGGGATATGAAATCCGACCTGGTGCGTGTGATTCGCATTCACAATCCCAAAGGCTATAAAAATAGCCTTTAATATGACATATGAAAATGATATACCAAATAATAATATTTGAAAATTCTAAAAAATAAAATATCATACATAAAACTATTAACTAAATATTAGCTTAAAGTAGAAAAAAGATAAAATAATATAAAGTACCATAAAACAATATATAGGTGAGAAGAATGATGATGTGACTGACAGTCGACACTTACTTGTTATGTAGTCGATATCCTAACGTCATATGATCGATATTATAATGTCATGGTTTTGATAATTAGATGCCACATTGATTAACATCTCGATGTCATTTGATTGACATGTTGTCATTCATTGGATTCGACATGACTTTGATTAACGGGAGAGGCATGTAATCGTCCCGACATTAACACATATTGAAGGGGGCATTTCCTCCCTCTCTGAAACCATACTATAAAAAGCTCATTATGTGCATGCCCTTTCTTTCTAAGATTTTAAAGCTCTAGTACATTCTAATTCTGAAGTATTCAACGCTTGATTGATACTTTATATCTAAACTAACTTAAGCATCAGAGGAATTTTATCGGACATACTTCTGACATAGTTTTGCAGTGTTTGACACTTTGAACAATGAAGGGGATTTGACACTTTTCCAACACTAGTCAGAGATAATCATAGAACAAGACCTCCATTGGCTCTAAATTGGCATCCCAATCAGACAATCAAAATATGTAGTAGCATTAAATTATAATAAATAGTATAGTAAATATGAATATATATAAAATCTATCAAAATAAGATAATTAAAACATAAAGAAATATGACAAGATGAAACAAGAAGCAACATAGGATTTTAAATTCCATTTTCAATTATTTTGTTCGTGGACGAAACATGTTAAAGGATTCTGATCTTAGCTGAATCCATTTCCTATACTTCTAGTTCGTGAGTATAGAGCAAATGTCATCTAAGTGTACTTCACGCAACCAGCGAGATATTTGAGTTCTGGTGGTTGTTGGGTTAGATGGGTGGCTGTGGTTGTTAGGGGAGGAACCCAGTTTTTATTGTTATTCGCGATAGTTGTAAGTGTAATAATGGACTGGAAGCCTGTTTGCAGATTGGGTGGCCTATGGACTGATTGCGATTTGCCCATTATGATCGGGCCGACCATTAATTTGTTATTGTTCTTCATTGCAATAACCACTAATTTGTTATTGTTCTTCATTTCTGCCCCTGTTCCAACTTCCCAATAACCATAGTTGCCGGCTTGATAGTTGCATCTATTTTTAGTATCTAGTTGTCTGGACCTATCTGTTTAAATGTTTGTTGAAGAAAGTTTTCAATCCTGCAGCACAAAGTTCCGTGTTCAATTTTTAATGGGAATTAAGTTGTCATGAATAATCTAAATATATGATGTTGTTCAAAAATCATATTTGTAAAAGTAGATCCTTAAAAAGATTTGCATAAAACTATAGGAGTATACTATGAGAATTTGTAGATATCTAGTTTTCAGAACAAATTTGTTTTTGCTGCACTTGTACTATTAACTGAAACCTGTATGTTGAGATTGGCTTTCACTACTTCATGCATGAAACCAGGCTTATGTTGACTGTATGTATGTAATACTGCTAAGCCTCATTTTTATTTGCTGAATATTGTGCTAGTGTGTCGTGTCCATACAGTTGCCCTCAGAAATCCTATGAAATTGACACTGATAAGAGAGATATGGATGTGGAGGGAGTTTATAATTAATCCATATGACTAGCATCATATTAGCAACCTAATAATCAATCAAATGATGCCATACTTTTCTTGTACTAATGCTGCTTGAACTACCACAGATTCTGCAACAAGCAGAAAAGCATCATTGCAGAGGTATTTGGTGAAAAGAAAAGACAGGTATTGCTTTTTTGTACCAGAGAGGCTTTGTTGTTAAAGAAATTCCATTAATTTTTTTCTTTGATGAAGATACAAGGCAAAGAAACTCCTTAAAGGTTCAACTTCTTCAAATATGGAAATGATGTACTTTAGCCAAAAGTTGAAATTCCCGAACCTAAATGAGCTTACCACGCTCGATGACACAAGCTTCTCTGCCCTATTTCAACAACCTCAATCCCCAGGTAGGTGCAGCTCTGGAGAAAACCAAGTTCAAAGAGAGAAATTCTTCATCGATCTCAATGGTGATGGTGAGTTAAATTTTGTGTTAGATGATATATGCACTGTACTTTTCCTTTGCATGTAAAAGCACTACTGGTTGATTAAGCTAGCATCTCGATGAGGATGCTACTCAAGCAAAAATTTATGAAATTTTTGCACATGAGATGTTTTCTTTTGAGTTTTGTTTCAACATACAGAAATATCATATGATATAGAAATTGTTTTCTTTGTCTGATTTGCTTTTGATGTTGAAAATATCAAGGCTTGTTTATATATTTTCTTGTATTCAACTTTCATTGTTTTTTTTCATCTTACCATTGGTGATCTCTCCTCTTCTGAGGTAGTCTCTCTGCCTTTCACCACCACCTACTCCGAGAATATATGGTGCTAGTTTAGGTGTACGGCCAAATGAAGAACCAGTAATGCGTAAATAATTTTAATTAAATATTGAGAAAAAAAATGGAAAATACAATATTCAAATTCATGGCATATTCTGATACCATTTTAAAGATTTAATTTAGTAGTCATAAATTCTAATGGTTTAAGCTATTAGAAAATGACCCAATATATGTTTCAACAGTGTCCAATTCACTGGGCTTGTTCTGCTATTCATATGCTCTTGTCCATCATCACCACTATTCTCTTTTCTTCTTGGATCTGTGATAGTTTAGATTAGGAAAATAAAACCTGCGAACAAATTAGTTTCAGTTCCTCAAACCATCATCACCCTATTCTTGGAATTTGGATAACCTGATAAGATCAGAAACTAAACTTATGTTGCAAGTTAGAGCTTTTTTATCAAAAAAAAAAAGAGAGTTAAAAGTAAGATTTGGTGTCAGATACATGTCTCTCAATTACTTTGTTGATTGACATGAGCTGAACAAATGACTTGCGGTTTCTCAGACTTCTCATGAGGTAAAAATAATAATAACAACAATCAAAATTTCAAATTATTTTTATAATAAATTTCAGTAGGATTACATCTTAGTTCGATGTGATATAAATCTATGATGTATGCACATACTCCACCATCCATTAATTAATTCTATTGATACCTTCTTGTATCCTGGTTGGTGTTTACTTCGTTTGGTTTAGCACTACTGCTGGTGACAATCTGATATCTGTTTGCATCTCAATCGTAATTACAGGTGGTGGGGATTAGTGAACTGCCTAACTTCACTTGTTTGACGAACAGAAGTGTGCTAATGCTGCTCCATCAACATGGCCAAAGCCATCAGAGATCCTAATTCCTCATCTTTCTGCTTTGGGTTTGAACATATTCAAGAAGTTTGGGTTTGTGCTTCCAAGCAATGACAAGCATGACTTTGACAAATAGTAGAAGACAGGATGGAAGATGAGATTGAGCCATAGTCTCCATCCAGCATATAAATCTGCCAAGATTTAACAGATTTCTTCACCTGTGAAAACAATTCTGCCAGTTTATGGTGCCAGTGCAGCCTATGGAAGGATCGCAGTTCTGTGTTTCCAACTACTATCGTTTTCTTACCATTTACCACCTTGCTTGCTGTAAGGTGTTCTATGAATATTGCAGCTGCTCGTGGATTTATTTGGGGTGAGTACCGTATCCCGAAAGTTTGACATGCCATTTTTTTTTTTCTCTTTTATGAGATAGTTTTCTTGTTGTTGATTCTTATATTTAAGTTTCTCGATACATGTTGAATCTATTGGTTTACCTTACTGGTGGAAGTATTGCCTCGAGGACCAAACGCACTAGTGTTTTCTGCATTACTCATTTTAGATTCTTTATCCGTTCGTAAGTGCTTTTGGCTTTTCCTTCGTATTTAAAAGTGTTTGCTGGCGGCTTCTTGTTTTCTTGCCTCTTCTTCTTCTTCAGTAATGTGGTGATATTTTTCTTTTTGTTCTTTTCAATCATTCCGTCCACCATCTCCTGCTAACCATTTCTTTGGGCCTCATAGTATTTTTTATATGTGACCTCACATTTATTTGGCCAATGAGAACCATATAAATTTTATTTTCTTTTAGTGTTTTCATATTTCATTCAGCAAAGCCCAAAAGCAATCTGCTCATTGGGAAGTCCAACTCATGACTTTTTGACTTTTTATTGTAGACTCGTTCTTGGGGCTTTGTCGAGTAATATTTTTTTATGAAACACCCTTATGCTAATCTTGGCCGTCATCATTTCATCATCATCAATCTAATCCACTATTAGAAAAGAAAGGAGGTCTTTGTCAGTACCATTCATGACATCTTACAGGAGTGCTCAATGCATACTTATCAGAACTAAGTCAATTATGTAAGCTATATATTTAATTTAATTATATATATATTCATATTCAATTGCGTATTAAGGTATGATGTGTTATTGGAAAAATGATGCTATAAATTATGCATAGTAATTAATACCTATGGAAGTTTGTGTATTATTAATATCTTTAACAATAACATAAAGTGCGCAGAGTGGCTCACAAGAGAAAATAATGAGGTGAAAGAGGGATGTCTCTTAACAATTAAATACCTTGGCAAAACGTTGTATCCATCAAATTTATCATTGCAATCCAAGTCTTAATCAAAGCAAAAGTCAAACCACTCATGTTCCCAATTTGGCTTTGCTTAGCACGAGGATTTGGCGCTGACATCGACCCGGTCTTCGGCACGAGGGATAGGAGCGAGTCAAAGTGGATCAGGTACGACTCCACACAAGCTGCGTTGCTTCCCGTTTCCGTTAAACCGTAAGCATGACATGACCCACTCGCAAACCCATATCCATCTATTTCTCGTTTCCTCAGATCTTAATCTGATGCGTCGGTTTGACCGGCCCGAATCAGGTGCGGATGGGACATCCGAAGGAATTGTCCTCACCGCGGGTAACCGCACCCATCCCCAGGAACGACCACGACCACCCCCTCGGATCCGCTTCATCCTCGCCCTGTCCGTCGCAGTCCGCACGAATCGTGAGGTCGGACGTGGGCTACGACCGAAGGGATCGCAAGATCTCGAGCGGGAGTGAGGGAACTCGGGGCACCGCCTTCGCCACGACTTAGGTTTCGATCGCCACGGCACCGAGCGCACCGTACTTCGCGACTCGTTTCGTAATGAATGTTGTGGAACTGGATTTCCGCTTTGCCACGTGGCGCGTCTCCCCTGCCTACGTGGCGCCGGGGTGGACGGCGACTACGTCGCGCTAAGAGTGAGATGAGAGAGAAAGAAAGAAGGGAAGCGTCCGACCGAGACAGAGTCTCTCGCACGGACACGATCGATCGTTCGACCGAGAGAGAAAGAGAGAAAGAGAGAGAGAGAGAACGAGAAAAGCTCTCCGGTCTCCGACTTCCTTCGAGCGGACATCGTGTCCCCAAATCCCTACGACCAAAGGCCCTCGTTCCCCTGAGCCGGATACCCTCAACCAATCTTTTTCCGCCGAAAGATCCCATTCTTGAACGGATCCCGATCGATTCTACGAAGCAGCACGCGAGATCCGGCGCTCCGTCTCGCTCCAGCTGACGCCTCGTACTTCGCGTTCCGTTCGTTCTTTGTCTCTCCCACTTTTTGGGTCGGTCACCGCCGTGGACGGGACGAGACGGAGAGTGAGGGTCTGGATCGAGCTGGGATCGTATCTAGGAATTGAAACGGAGGAGGGACGGGGGACGCGGGGGGTTCGTGCTTCGGATGAGGACCACCCATGTTCCAGTCATCGCGGAAAACGATGAAATGGTCGTCATTGCTTAAGGATCTCAGGGAGAAGATCGGGCTCTCCGCGTCGCAGCCACAGTTACAGTCCGTAGCCTGCCCGTCTCCCTCGCTCTCCGCCGCCGCCGAATATGGTGGAGCTGGCGCATCGGAGTCGGCCCCGTCGTCGGCATACGGATCTCCCGTCGCGTCACCTGCGAGGTATGAAACCTTTTGATTTTGCTTCAACCATCGAGTTCTTGTTTTTGTATCTTTTGCGCGTGGTAATGCGATTAGGCGGTGCATTCCTGTGGAAAGATGGATTGTTTCTGGTGTGAAAGATAAGAATCTATGTTAAGGATGGCTGCTTCTCATTGAATGTCTCTCGGGTTAGGATCTTCTGTGTATGATATTTTTACTATCTGCAGAATGCTATTTCACGCGGCGAATCTCGGAGAGAACAACTGAATTACGCATCGGATTTAACTAATCTTTCTGCTGATAATTCCATTAAAGCAATATGTTTTTTTTTTAATGATCATGTGCAAGCTACAAAGTCAACTGACTGGTCTATACTTCCAAATATAAGCAACATGGATATTCCTTTCGTACAGATGAGATTTGACAATGAGATATGAGTTTTTTCTGCCATTAGGTAACAGAAAATGGATTGGTATAATCATCCAAATATTGGCAAATAAATGAGCATCATGTATGTGTTAGCTTAAGTTTTGCCTCTGAAAGCATAAGTTATTGGCGCATAGGAAGATAAGTAGGATTGTTGCAATAATTTATATCTAGATAAAGGTAATGCTGATGAAGACAGATATTTTTCTATGCTGTTGCAAGTGTATATTAAATAGTAAAAGCTGATTAAAAAGATATGAAAGGCCAGTGATCACCAACCCTCCTTTGGATGTGCGCATGATTATGGTAATGCAACAAAATCAGTAGAGTAATGATGGATTATTGGTAATGCAAGACAGGGAAATAGATCAAATTCACTTTTTGTCTAAAGGTTATGATTCTGTGTGCATTTAAAGAACACTGATCATGAGAAAATACATCAACCCACTGTTTGGGAATTTTGCTGTCATTGTACTCTTCTTAGTTGAACTCAACAGATGATTGGAGTTGATTCCTGCATATACAATCATGACTATCAGTCGATCCATCTTTCTTTCCATTTCAACAATGAATTCATCCACCTAATTCTATTAATTAGATCCTGCTTTGACATGAATTCTCTGCTTTTTAAATCCTTTATTCATTTTGTTGAAGTTGATTGTCATGGTATTACTCTGTAGATTATTGGGATCCAATAGCAATGAAGTAACTGTAGGAATAATTTCTTTGATTCCGATCAACGTCAAACAAAGTGGCTTTAAGGGCTGAAGAAACAAGAGACATGTTTTATGTAGAACGATATAAAGAAAGGGGAAAAGAAGCAAAGTGACCATAGAAGGGTAGAAAAAATATTATTTGGAATCCACTAAAAAATAATAATATATTCAAGAATTCATTATAATTTTGTATTATTTTGCAACTTGCCATGTCCTATTTATAGATCATTAGACAATTTATATATCATTAACAAATTCCAAAACATGCTTTTCATAGTGATCCTAGGATGCTTGATTAGTTTGATGAATTTAGTACTGTAGTTTACACTTTTCAGCTTAGAGTACAAAAACCAATTAACTCTAAGCTGCACAAAGCTTAAATTAAAAGAAATTTAAATATATCCTCTCTCTTGTTGCTGACTGCATGACCTTGAATTGTATATCTGCAGAAAGGTTGAGAAACTGCTATTTTGTATTCTATGTTCGAGTAGAGGTTCCTTCTTGGCTCAATGCTACTTTCAGTTTAAATGGAGAATGAGAAGAGATGAATTCAGATTGTTAATTCTTATCTTGATCTATATAGCTATATTTGTAGATTGTTACTTTTTTCACTTTGCAGGATCTTCGTAGCCTGAATTTTACACTCTCAAATCATGACAGCTCTTTTACCTTTATTCACAAATGGCATTCATTTACTGTTTTGGGTTAAAATATGTGCATGATTCTCATGCTAAAATGATCTTGAAGGGAATCCTTTATTTACCTTGTTCTGAATTTGTGCATTTTCTTGTTTCACCAAGAATAATTTACATACTTATTACAGGTGACCTTTGAAGTTCTACTTGTTGAGTTGCATCTGGTTATTATAAAAAGTAATCAAAACCAGCTTCTGTAGTTTGCTTATTCTTGTTATTTCTTGTTCTATATAAATGCAGAGGCAAACATGAATTGGAGTTGGACTTTAAGAAGTTCTGGGAACAATTCCGATCTTCCAGCTCTGAAAAGGTTGTTATAAGGCTTCTCATGCTCCCTGCACTAATGTGGCCTTTGTAATCTTGTATTTTCTAACAGTCTGGATGCTTATATTGAAAGTTTGCCCATGCAGGAGAAAGAAACAGCATTAAATTTGGCTGTAGATGTATTCTGTAGACTGGTTAAGCAGCAGTCCAATGTAGCTCAGTTGATTACCAAGTATGAGTTCTCACCTTATTCACATCATACAATCTAAATTATTCATACTTTATGTCCCCTATGTTATCCTGCAAATAATTATGATGTTTATTATTTATTTTTCTAGCCTTTTTAAAACTTATTTTTAGACTACCAATTTCTGATAGGCTTAGTAAATCATGAATCTAGTGTGTTTTCAGATTGGTTGCAACATTTTTTTTTTCTACAAGAAATATGAATAGCCCACTGAAGGAAACATTAGCTATGATACCTTTTTGATGAACTTTCAAGTGTATCTTCTTTTTGGTTGATGATATTTGAAACTTAATATGTACTATGTAGATAGAATTATGTATCCCTTCTATCTTTTCTCTTGCATCATTATCTGAATTAGAATCTTTTTTTTACACCTGTTCCTAACTTCTTGATCTTCTTTGCTTCATCGTAGTACCTTGTAGAATTATTGCCGTGTCTCATGATCATTATGACACAGAAAGTCTGGATTATTGATTTAGAGATGTGACATTAGATGAAGATATGCCTTTATTTAGTCTTGATAAGTGCTTTGTTATTAGTTCATGGTGCACAAGTGCTATTTCACATGGGAAGCATGTTTAAATACATGCAGAATACCATGTCATAGAAGTTTATCTAAGCTATTTTTGTCTTTTTTGTCATTTACTCTATGTTTGATCATGTAGTCCTCTAATATTTGCATTACCATGTCTTCTTGAATAATTCCCAATCAACTTAGCACATTTGAATTAGTTGTTTGTTCCTACATCCTCTTTATTTAGTGCAGTGCTATCCTATTAGGGCTGTTTAATGGGTAGCTTTTTGCTAGCTTCATATGTTTGCATTGATGTTTAACTTGATAATGACTTGCTAATTTTTGTTTTTTGGTAAATAAAATAGTCTGCAAGCTTGTGTAGATTGTACATCTGGTTCACTTTATTTTGTAGGAAGTTGAAATCTTAAGAGACATGCTCTTTTGAGTTCAAAATTACTTTTGAAGAGAACAGAGATATCAAACCAGTGGAGTAGTTCTTAGATTGCCTCTGTTAAATTAAATTTTGTGTTTGGAAAATTTTCATCATTTGGTTTTTGGAAGTCTCAAATTAGCTAAAACAACTTCCATTGATATTGCTGCCAACTACAGCTTCCAATAATTTGTCGATCCTATCTTTATAGCGATGACTCTTGATCGTTCTTTTTGAATTGCAATCCTTATCATCCATATGTGTTTATTCTTTGCTCTGCTTTTAGAAAATGGACTGCTTTGTTTTGGTCCTGTGCCTTGAGGCACATTAAGCCACAAAAAACACATGCCAAAACACTAGTTCCATCATATCATGCCATATCTCTGAGAGCGATTTCCTCCTCCTTATCCTGTTTCTGTTTGATTAAGTAGTGACAGTAGTCTATTTTTAACCATTCATTTCAGATTACCTTTTTTTTATATTTTCTGAAATTGCATAAAGTCTCTCTAAGTCAAATTATAAGATAGACTTTATATTTTTAGATTTATTCTGGCAGCTATGTGCTACTTTCTCTTCTATTTAAATTGAGTTGTAAGGATGTCATTAGCAAATGCATGCAGTTTGGGAACCTGTCTTGAATCTATTTATAGGTTCATCCAATTTGAAGTTGCAACTAGAAGTTGGCTACAAATCCAACAAATTTTAGCAGAAAACTCTTACATTATCTTATAAGTGTGAATTTGGTTATATTTTTGTCCATTATTGTTAAAGTAAAGTATTCTGGCATAATGGCTTACATGAACTAAACATTTCTTTCAATTCTTACTACAGGTTTGTAGAAGTACACATATTTTCTTTTGTTGTTGGAAGAGCCTTTGTGACAGATTGTGAGAAGTTGAGAATCTATAGCAAGGGAAAATCTTTAAATGTTGCAAACATAATAAGTTTCTTTTCTGAAGTTAAGGTCTGCTGTTGTACTTTCTGATTATCACTTTTTCATACTTGTTAATTCCAAAAACTGCATACACCTGTAAGTAATTATTTGTTGTGCAGGAGGGGATCGGCCGTGGTTCTAATTTGTTATATGCAGTAGAGTTCCTTGTAACAGGGGTATGTATGTCCATGTTCTTTAGTGACTAATTTATTTAAAAGCATTTAATCTTGTTAATTCTCTAACACATAGTAACTTATCTTACAGAAACTTGTTTACTTGTCAAATTTCTGTTTCTGATGTCAACCAATAAAGGTGCTTTATTAAGACACGAGAATACAAATACTGGATCTAGTGGCTCTGTCTAGTCATGAACAGAATTATAATTTATTCCTTGTTATATTTCCTTGTTATATTTGCTTGAAGGATGTTCTTTTATAAACTTGTAGAAATTTTTTGGGGTACATGTATCATTATGATTTCTGTCACAGCACCGTATAAGAGTAATATAAAGGTGACATGTTGGATGGTATGTGACTGCAGTTATGTGAGGTTAAATGTTTGATTTTGTATATGCTGTCTGGTCTAATGTGCTAATCCTCTCTAAATACCGGTGAAAAACAGTACATGTCAGCATGTTAGTAGTACTTTACACCTTGCATGTCTGAATACAGTTACATGAATACCACCTGATCTAGATTATTACATATCTTTGTCAATGTTATAATGCCACCTCAACATTTTCTCTTTTATAGAACAAATATTTCTAAAGTTTACTTTCTTATATTTTACAATAAAATTCCAAGAATTAATTCAGTGTGATTGTCTAGTTGGAAACCTGTTTAAGTTATTTCTTTTTACTAATTGCTCTTGAGGATGTGAATGTATCTCCTCCTTACCATGTCAACCAAATGCTAGTGTGTGGAATTTCTTCAAATCTTTTAATTGTAATTTTTCTTGTTAAAGTTCTAAGGTAAAGTTATGGTATGACAAAACTGCAGCTTGGTTTTGAACAAATAATATAACTCCAAATCCACCAAAGAAGGGAAAAGGACACGAATTAACTTGCACAAACAGACTTAATCTTCTATGACATAGTTGATTTAATGCTGTTGTATCTGAAGCTAGCTTGATATTGGTAGAGCTAACTGAGCATACAACCAACGGCCACACCTTTGAATGCATTATGACATGAAGATTGTGTATCCGCTTGAATTGTGATTTTTATTTATACACAGGCAACGGATAAGCAACCCCTGTTGGATTCTGGCATTCTATGCTGTCTTATTCATATTCTCAGTGCACTTTTAACTCCTGACAAGGCCAAGAAAGGACAACTTGAAACCTTAGAAGAATCAACTAAAAGTAAAAAAGCTATGGATGATAAAGATGCTCTTCGAGTGCGACGGCTTGAGGTAAACTCACCTGTGAATATAGGAATTCTGCTCTTGACTTATGTAATTACTGTGAGTCCCCTTTTTTTTTCTCTTTCTGTGAGTTTCTAGCCATGCCTTGGAGTTGTAAATCTAGCTTTAATATTAGTTATGAGATAAGATGCTTTGTTACTATATTTTATATTCTCTACATTATTGAAATTTATTTTTCTCTCTATCGTGCACTTCCTTCTTCCCTCTAATTTTGATCGTTAAAATTTAGTTTCTGGGCAAGCCTGCAAGGACACCTTGCTTGTGATGACAATAGAGGATACACTAGATGACACAAAAATGGAGCTTTGTGGTATCAAAGGTAAAAGGAATTATTGAGGTTTGAATGGGATGCCAGAGAGAAAATTTGAACAACTTGCTCATGATGGCTAAAACTGGCTTAGGCTTGAAATGGAAATGACTTCCAGTATTCATGGTCCCAAGGAAACTGCCACTGGCCAGATAAGGTGCTAATCATGAACCAAATGTCAGTGTGGAAACTCAGGTCAAATTGACCATGGACAATTGCATGACTATAGTCATAATTGTCTCTTTAGAAACTCCAGCTAGTCTGGTGTCTAATTGGAGAACATCCATGCACAATTTTTCCTACTTTCAGTTGTGATTATATGGTGGTCTAATGGGTTTGTTATTTTTGGTCTCCATTCAGATAGAAGGAAGTATAGTGCATATTATGAAGGCATTAGCAAGCCATCCTTCAGCAGCACCAAGTTTGATTGAAGATGATTCACTTCAGCTTCTCTTTCATATGGTTGCAAATGGTTCTTCACATGTATTTGCTCAATTTGGAGATGGCCTTGTTCCTTTGCATACCATTCAACTTCATCGACATGCCATGCAGGTTTTGTTCCTTGTGGATGCATGATATAGCCTTCTACAGATTCAATTATGGTATGCAATCCCCATATACATATTTATATGCATAATTGTGGTTATTACTCTCGATTGGTACAGATACTTGGTCTTCTTCTTGTCAATGACAATGGAAGCACAGCAAAATATATACATAAGCATCACTTGGTATGTTGCTTACCCTATTCACCTAATGGACTGAATTAACATATTTTATGCCATATTATCATGTAGTGGATGTTAGTCTCATTTAAAAGCAATTGTAAGTGCAAATTACATATATTAAAACTCAAATGAAAATGCACCTTTGATTTGTGTATAATCATTTAGTTCCGTTGTTTTGTTGTATAAATTCAAAGCAAGACATTTGATTCCACATTCTCAAGACAGAAGTTAGGTAGTTTGCTCTTTTGAGGGTTAATCTTTCTGAGAAGAAGTTGTTCTCTTCTGATGGGTTTGTGACAGCTTTTATTTTCATTCCTTTCATTACAGAGTGGGAAGTAATTTACTTTTTCTCTTCTTTTCCTTTTTCCCTCTTTACTTATTTCAACTTCTTAATGAAATAAGTTGGCAGTCTGCTAGGCCACATTGTGTGTTGCACTTAATTTGCATTCCACTTGTGTTGAGTTTCTGTTTTACTGAAACTTTAATATATAGGCACATTAGATACATTACATTAATGAAAAATCATTTCTGCTATTTAGTAGTATCAAAGGTTTTTGACTTGACATGATGAAGAGATTTTGGTCTATTCTTTATTAACCTAAAAAAACCTTTATATATGTCTATGAAAACTTGAAACATAACCAATATGTTAATAGGCACATTCAATTATCATATGTAAGTGTTAGACACATAATTATAGACATTCATCAACTGTAGTTTTATTTCTTTTGGTAAATACTATAAAGTGTTGTTTCTTGGGGGAGGGGAATGGAGGCTTTTGGAGATGATTAGTGTGATAGGACCTGTTGGGCTTTGTCTCAGACAGTCAGACCATTTGACAGATTCTCATAATAAGAGAATAGATATAAACAATGAAAGAAAGTTTAAAGCTTTAGTTGGATTATTAGCGAAAAAGAGCTTGATGAATGAGAAAAGTGGGTTGAAAGAGGTGTCAGAATGTGTGTATATTTCTGTGTCAGCAGGAGCATTTATTGGTAATTTGGATGCTCTATTCACTTCTACAATATTATATGATGCAACATTTAATGTGTTTATTTTTTTTGTCATGGGGAGCATATACTGGTAGTTTGAATGCTCTGTTAAATTCTGCAATGTCATATCATGTGACATTTGATAAGTTTGTTTTCATGGAAATTTCTATACATATGTTGCTGATGTTTTAAACTGCATGTTAAGTTAATTCACCAAGACTAAGTCTTTGAGGAGTCATCCTGATGGATTGAATCTTGTTGTAAGCATCTAGTGCATATGCCATGTAATACTTGACTGGAAGGAGTGAAATTAAAGGAAAAATTTGACAAATACTGGAAAACGATATATGGTAGGTTGTAGTCACAAATAGATTGCTTCATGAAAGTGAAGAGTGGGATAAATTCGACATTATTTGTTATATGATTATGCCAATTGCCAACAAGAGGCATCTGTGCTATATTTGACTGCTTATGGTTTTGTTGATTTTGGAGGAACACTATGCAGTTTATAAATTTCTTTTTGTAATATTTTATTTTTTTAATCTTCTTGTAGATTATTCCTTCTCTTTAGCAAAGATGTGTTGTATTTGATGTCTTGTCTTATCAGGGGCTTTATGTGGTCTTGTGTTTAGATAAGAGTCCTTTTGATGGCTGTCAAAGATTTCAATCCTCAGAAGGGTGATGCTGCGTACACCATGGGAATAGTTGATTTGCTGCTTGAATGCGTCGAATTATCATATAGACCTGGTAACTTCAATTCACAGTACTTGTTTCATGTCCTAGATGTTTTTCTCATATCCATCAAAACTATTATCTGAGCTGCTATTCAGATATAAAAGCAATTGGTTACCTTTCATAACTTGTGAGTTAGGTAATTTGTTTTAGTGCTATACTTTTTGTGCTTTATCTGTAGAGGCTGGCACCACTAATCTAAGGGAAGATATACACAATGCACATGGCTATCACTTTCTTGTTCAGTTTGCCTTAACACTATCCAGCTTGCAAAAGGATCAGGTTGTTCAGTCAGTCAGTTCAAAGTTGCCACATAAAGAGTCTTCCCAACTGGATGGTCAGGATGCAGCTAATAGTTCGATACAGTTGGAAAGTCAAAGTGATGCCTCATCATCCCATCTTTCTCCAGCATTAATAAGGCTACTTGATGCTCTTGTTAATTTAGCACAAACAGGTCCTACAGAACACACTGTTGGAAAAGGTTCAAAATCTATACACAGTAAGGGTACAAGCCATCGAAGTCGTACACATTCTTTTGATAGACTCGGTGATGATGAGAAAAGTAATACTAAGGTTAAAGATCTTGAAGCCATACAGATGCTTCAAGATATTTTTTTGAAGGCAAAAAATGTGGAACTTCAGGCGGAGGTGTTGAATAGGATGTTTAAGATATTTTCATCCCATCTTGACAATTACCAGTTGTGTCAACAACTGCGGACCTTGCCCCTGTTTATCCTTAATATGGCTGGCTTTCCTGCATCATTACAGGAGATTGTTCTAAAAATTTTAGAATATGCTGTGACTGTTGTAAACTGTATTCCTGAACAAGAACTGCTTTCACTTTGTTGCTTATTGCAGCAGCCTATTACTGCTAGCCTGAAGCATACTATACTTGCTTTCTTTGTTAAGCTCCTGTCCTTTGATCAGAAGTATAAGAAAGTCCTTAGGGAGGTTGGTGTTTTGGAGGTTCTACTAGATGATCTGAAACAGCACAAGTATTTTTCTGGTGTAGAGCAGCAAAACAGGATTTCTAGTGGTTTAGAAAAGTCTAATCCTGGCAGCTTCAGAAAACACATCGACAACAAAGATGGCATTCTTTCTTCACCCAAATTAATGGTTTCTGGTTTAGGAAAATATCCTGTATTTGAAGATGACAGTACCACAGCTATAGCATGGGATTGTCTTTTTTCTTTGTTAAGGAGAGCTGAAGCTAACCAACAATCATTCCGATCATCCAATGGGGTCAGTGTCATTCTTCCATTATTGATATCTGATCGCCATCGTTCTGGTGTTCTTCGGCTCCTATCTTGTTTGATTATTGAAGATGCTCTTCAGGTATGCAGTACTTAAATATTCAATTAATATATATATGAATATCTTCACCTGGAACTTGTTTGTGCTTCAATATTTTCTACAAAAGACTATTTTTTCAACCACAAAAAGTACTTTGTTCTTATCTCATAGATAGTATCTTCTTTTTCCTACCAGGCTCATCCAGAAGAATTAGGTATGCTAATTGAGATTCTCAAGAGTGGGATGGTTACAAGTGTCTCTGGATCTCAATACAAACTTCAAACTGATGCAAAATGTGAAATATTAAGTTCATTATGGCGTATCTTTGGGGCAAACAATTCAGCACAAAGAGTTTTCGGAGACGCCACAGGCTTTTCCCTACTGTTAACTACATTACATGGTTTTCAGGGCAGTGAGCTTCCAGATGTTCAATCTTCTATAAATGTTTTTAATTTTCTAATGCGAGCCATCACTGCTGGGGTATTCAATAATCCTGTCAATAGATTGAGACTCCAAGCAACTATGTCATCTCAGACATTTTATGATCTTCTCTGTGAGTCCGGTTTGCTTTGTGTGGAATGCGAGAAGCAAGTTGTCCAGTTGTTGTTTGAGCTTGCACTTGAGAATGTTCTTCCACCATCTGCTAATATTCAGGGGGAGAGTTCTTCCTCTGATACCTCGGAGGATGAGCCAAATTCTTTCTTGGCCATCTCTCTTGGTATATCTAGGCTTGACAATGAGCGGATATACAATGCTAGTGCAGTGGGTGTGCTCATACGTTCCCTGTTATTCTTTACTCCAAAAATGCAATTGGATATCCTGAAGTTCATTGAAAAGCTTGCTCATGCTGGTCCATTTAATCAGGAAAATTTAACTTCTGTTGGTAAGGCAAAAAAATTACATTTTCTTTTAGTTTTGTCTTATGCATGATATAGCAATTAATGTTACTCTGGTCGGCTAATAATTTAGGATGCATTGCACTTCTGCTGGAGACAATTAGGCCATTACTTGAGGGCTCATCCCTGCTACTTATACATGCTTTCCGAATTGTGGAAGTTCTAGGAGCATTCAGGTTTGTTCAATACTGAAATGAGACTTAGTTGCCATCTGACCACTAGATATTTACTTGTTTGCTTGGAGTAACATGTAATCTTTTTGGTAATAGGCTGTCTTCTTCTGAGCTTCGAGTTCTTGTAAGATATGTTCTGCTGTTAAAGTTGAAGAATTCAGGGCAACTTCTTGTTGATATGATGGAAAAAATAGTACAGATGGAAGACATCAGATCAGAGGGTGTTTCCTTAGCACCATTTGTTGAGATGGACATGAGCAAAGTGGGTCATGCATCCATTCAGGTGTCTTTAGGAGAAAGAACATGGCCTCCAGCTGCTGGGTATTCTTTCGTTTGTTGGTTTCAGTATCATAATTTATTGAAAAGTCAAGTTAAAGAATCTGAGCAGGCATCCAGAATTGGATCTAGCAAAAGCAATGCTTCTGGTGGTCAGGTATTGCATATCTTTTCTGTTGGTGCAATGAATGATGGAAACACATTATATGCAGAACTCTACCTCCAAGAGAATGGTGTCTTAACTCTAGCAACAAGTAATTCGTGCTCACTATCATTTCCTGGCATAGAAATGGAAGAAGGAAGGTGGCATCACCTTGCAGTTGTTCATAGCAAACCTAATGCGTTAGCAGGATTATTCCAAGCCAGTGTAGCATACCTTTATGTTAATGGAAAGCTGATTCACACAGGAAAGCTTGGCTACTCACTATCTCCTGTTGGTAAATTATTGCAAGTTACTCTTGGTACACCAGTTTCTCATGCAAAAATTACTGATTTATCATGGAGGCTTAGATGCTGTTATCTTTTTGAGGAGGTGCTCACCTCTGGTAGTGTTTTCTTCATGTATATTCTTGGCCGAGGATACAGGGGACTATTTCAGGATGCAGATCTTCTAAGGTTTGTCCCAAACCAGGCTTGTGGTGGGGGCAGCATGGCAATACTAGATTCTTTGGAAGCTGAGTTGCCTATGGCTTCCAATTCACAACGACCTGATAGTTCTATCAAACAGGGAACAACCAAGTCAGATCGCAGTGGGATTGTTTGGGATTTGGAAAGATTGACAAACCTTTCTTTACAGCTTTCTGGCAAAAAACTCATCTTCGCTTTTGATGGAACATCCTCAGAATCATTTCGAGCTTCTGGGACGTTGTCCTTGCTCAATCTTGTTGATCCAACATCAGCTGCTGCCTCTCCTATTGGTGGTATGTAGATTACAAATGATACTTGAACTCATAATGGGATTTCCGTGTAATACGTGAAGTAAATGCTGTTATTTGATTTGCAGGTATACCACGCTATGGTCGCCTTTCTGGAGACGTGTACATCTGCAACCAATTGATGATCAGTGATAGTATACGTGCTGTTGGTGGAATCCCTGTTGTGCTTGCTCTTGTCGAGGCTGCTGAAACCAGGGACATGCTACACATGGCACTGGAGTTGCTTGCATGTTCACTTCATCAAAGTCCACAGAATGTTAGGGACATGCAAATGTTGAGAGGATATCATCTTCTCGCACTTTTTCTGCACCGTAAGATGTCACTATTTGATATGCATTCACTTGACATATTCTTTCGTATTGTGGCATGTGAGGCCTCCTTTTCTGAACCACAAAAGTATCAAGCAAGCGGGGCTATGAGTCTTCCTGCTAGAACCTCACCAGAAGCCAGTGTAGAGGATCTTTCTTTTCCAAAATTTTCTGATGAAATTAATTCAGTTGGATCTCATGGAGATCTGGATGATTTCTCTGCACAAAAGGATTCCTTTAGTCATCTTTCAGATCTTGAAAACACTGATTTGTCAGATGTAAACTCAAACTGTATTGTTCTGTCAAATGCTGACATGGTCGAGCATGTCCTCCTAGACTGGACATTGTGGGTTACAGCTTCTGTTTCGATTCAAATTGCACTTATTGGATTTCTTGAACGCATGGTATCCACGCACTGGTATAGAAATCACAACCTGACAATCTTACGTCACATGAACCTGGTTCAGCATTTATTAGTAACTCTGCAACGTGGTGATATGGAAGTTCTTGTTTTAGAGAAGTTGGTGGTACTGCTTGGTGTCATTCTGGAGGATGGCTTTTTACCTTCTGAGCTAGAACTAGTTGTCAAATTTGTTATTATGACATTTGATCCGCCCCACCTGACTCAAGGGAATCAGATTATTCGAGAGACAATGGGAAAGCATGTTATAGTAAGGAACATGTTACTGGAGATGCTTATTGATTTACAAGTAACTATTAATGCTGAAGAGTTGCTTGAACAGTGGCATAAGATTGTCTCATCCAAATTGATTGCCTTTTTCCTTGATGAAGCTGTACATCCAACCAGTATGAGATGGATCATGACTCTTTTGGGAGTTTGTCTTGCTTCTTCTCCTACGTTTGCTCTCATGTTCCGTAGCAGCGGGGGTTACCAAGGGTTGTCACGTGTTCTTCCAAGCTTCCATGATTCTCCTGAAATATACTATATTCTCTTCTGTTTAATATTTGGTAAGGCTGTCTATCCCAGGGTGCCTGAAGTCCGCATGCTTGACTTTCTTGCCCTTTTGCCTAATGATGGAAACTATGGCGAGTTGAAATTTGTCGACCTGTTAGAAACAGTGATTGCTATGGCAAAAGCCACATTTGATAGATTGAGCATGCAGTCAATGATTGCTCATCAAGATGGTAATCTGTCACTTACCAATGGTAGCTTAGTTGCAGAGCTTGTAGAAGCAACAACAGATATGGCAGGAGACCTTCAAGGTGAAGCACTATTGCACAAGACTTATGCAGCACGATTAATGGGTGGGGAGGCAGGGGCGCCTATTGCTGCCACCTCGATTTTGCGGTTTATGGTTGATTTAGCAAAAACATGTCCTTCGTTCTCTGCTTTGTGCAGGCGAGCAGATTTTCTTGAAAGCTGTGTTGATCTATATTTTTCTTGTGTAAGGTTTGTTGCAAGATGCTCTAGCTTTTTTTATTCATTTCTATTGGTCTCTGGGTTGAATTCCATCATAAATGCGAGCACTTGTTTACCAACCTTGCACTATTATCTTCTGTTAAGAGTTCCTTATTCTTGTCTATTGACTAATTTGCTGTCTTTCAGGGCTGATTGTGCATTAAGGTTGGCTAAAAATCTTCCTACTGTTGCACCTGAGGAGAAGAATGATATTGATGATGATGAGGATTCTGAGAACACATTCACTAGCTTGCCTCCAGAAAATGAGCAGTCTGTGAAAACTTCCATAAGCACTGGAAGCTTTCCTCAAGAGCAAAAAAGTACTAGTTCCACAGATATACAAGGGACACCTAATTATCCTTTGATTGATGCTACTGTAAAAAGAGATGATGCAAGAAATGTAGATCCTAAGAAATCTCTCAGTGGAGAAGGTGACCAATCTCTCTGGAGTCCTAATGAGCAAAATTTCAGTGACATGTCTTTTACTTACAATGATCCTGATATAAGGGCTCAGATTCTCAGTCAACCATCTGATACACTTAGTTCTGCCTCTATGTCTGTCCCTTATTCTCCTGCCCAATCTGAGAATTCAAACATGAAAACTAGTGCATCTCCTGTACTTGCTTTAACATCATGGATTGGCAGCACAGGCAGTAACAGTGATGCAAAAGCAAAATTAACTGCTACTCCATCAATGAGATCTTTTTCCTTGAATGAGTCTGATTCATCTCCTGATTTAAAGACAAATTCGCATGAATCATCTGCTGCAAGCATGTTTCTTCCAATAAATCCAAAGCTGTTACTTGAAATTGATGATTCAGGTTATGGAGGTGGTCCATGTTCTGCAGGAGCTGCTGCTGTTTTAGACTTCACTGCTGAAGTTCTTGCTGATATTGTCTCAGAACAATTGAAAGCAACCCAGTTTGTAGAGAATATTTTAGAATCTGTTCCACTTGATGTGGATGTTGAGTCTGCTTTAGTTTTTCAGGGATTGTGCTTAGGTAGATTGATGAACTTCCTGGAAAGGCGCCTCTTGCGTGATGATGAAGATGAGAAAAAACTTGATAAAAATCGGTGGACTGTAAACTTAGATTCTCTTTGTTGGATGATCGTAGATCGTGTATATATGGGATCTTTTTCTGAGCCAATTGGAGTATTTAGAACGTTGGAGTTTCTGTTGTCAATGTTACAACTTGCTAATAAAGATGGTCATGTGGAAGAGGCAGCACCTGGAAAAGGATTATTGTCCATTGCCAGAGGAAGCAAGCAACTTGAGGCATATATTCATGCCATTCTGAAAAACACAAATCGCATCATAATGTACTGCTTTTTACCTTTGTTCTTAAAGTCCATTTGTGAGGATGATCTGCTTTTTACTATGGGTTTTCAATCTGAAAGGAGTACCAACTTATCTTTGAACGAAATGCAAGATGAGTCAACTGTCAATATATGCACAATTTTGCAGCTGTTAATTGCTAACAAGCGGCTGGTACTTTGCCCAAGTAATCTCGATACTGATCTGATTTGTTGTCTTTGCATAAATTTAATTGCTCTTCTACGTGACAATAGATCAATGGCTCAAAATCAAGCAGTGGACCTCATCAAGTACCTGCTGTTGCATCGTCGACCAGCACTCGAAGACTTTCTTGTGACAAAGCCAAATCAAGGACCTGCTTTGAATGTGTTGCGTGGTGGTTTTGATAAGTTATTGACAGGGAATCTCTCTGCATTTTTTGACTGGTTCGAGGGCTCTGAGCAAGCCATTAATAAAGTCTTGGAACAATGTTCATCTATCATGTGGGCGCAATATGTATCTGGGTCAGCTAAGTTTCCTGGTGTCAGAATTAAAGGCATGGAAGTTCGTCGTAAGAGGGAAATGAGTAGGAAAGCACGGGAATGTGCAAAGTTAGATGTAAAACATTGGGAACAGATATATGAGCGACGATTTGCTCTTGAATCAGGTCAAGATCTAATGTCTACAGAACTAAGAGCTATTCGCCAAGACAAGTATGGTTGGGTTCTTCATGCTGAAAGTGAGTGGCAAAATCAGCTTCAGCAACTTGTTCATGAAAGAGGGATTTTTCCCATTCGGCGTGCATCTTCGAAACTCGAATGGCAGCTCTGTGCTCTTGAAGGGCCATATCGGATGCGGAAAAAGCTTGAACGCTGCAAACTCAAAATTGATACAATCCACAGTGTCCTGGTGAGAGGCGTTGAGCTGGAGAAGCCAAAGATGTTTAAGCAAAAGCATGAAAATGGTGCAGGTACATCTGGATCCGAGTCAGATTCTTATTTTAATATATTATCGGATGATGCTCCAGACAAGAGCTATGATGGTAGTGACCACAAAGAGTCCTCAATAAAAGAAGTTGGTTCTAGAGTTGAAACCTTACCATCTGCTCAGATTGGGTGGAATGATGATCATTATAGCAGTATGCATGAACCAAGTGTTCACTCTGCGACGGAAGGTGGCAATAAGTCAAGTTCCTTTTCTGTTCAGATGACAGAGGAAAAAAAATCTGAACTAGGCACTCCAAAGCAGTCACCTTCTTTTAAGAGTTATGACACAAGAGCTCCGGAGCTCAAACAAGAGAAAGAACTGCTTGATAATGGTGAATATCTTATCAGGCCTTTTCTTGAACCTTTAGAAAAGATAAGGTTCAGGTATAATTGTGAACGTGTTGTGGGCCTTGACAAGCATGACGGTATATTTCTTATAGGGGACCTCTGCTTGTATGTTATCGAGAACTTTTACATTGATGATTCTGGCTGCATATGTGAAAAGGTAAACGAGGACGACCTATCTGTGATTGATCAAGCTTTGGGTGTGAAAAAGGATGTCTCAGGGAGCAGTGACTTCCAGCTAAAATCCCCTTCAACACGGAGCATGGCAGTAAAGACATTGGCTGGTGGAAGAGCATGGGCATATAATGGAGGTGCTTGGGGAAAGGAGAAGGTTTGTAGCAGTAGTAACCTGCCGCATCCATGGCACATGTGGAAGCTTGATAGCATTTATGAACTCCTGAAACGTGATTACCAGCTTCGTCCTGTCGCTATTGAATTATTTAGCATGGATGGATGTAATGATCTTCTGGTTTTCCACAAAAAGGAGAGAGAGGAGGTCTTCAAAAACTTGATCACAATGAACCTTCCACGGAATAGCATGTATGTTTCATTTCATTTACTTTACCTTTTTTCTATTCCCTGTTCTGCTCTATTTGCCTGGTTTTATGGTTTTTGAGTTTGGCACATTCTGCACCATTAAGTAGAATACTGAGTCTATATTTCTTATCATTGATATACCCTTAACCGTTAAGTTTGTTACTCCACATCCTCCCTTTATGTACTATAATCATTGAAAAACAGTAGTTCCATATTGTGCTATAGGCAGATTAAAACATGCTATTAGAAAGCACCTAAAGTTACATATATACATCAGATTTAAATTAATCGAATATGATCAGTTGAACTGTTGACATAACTATTACAGCCTGCATCATTTGTTTCAAAGTTCTTGCATTCTTGAAATCTTCATATTTAGAGTAAACGATACACGTTTTTAATTTTTGTCAGAAAAGAGGCTCTATAGTACTGTTCTCATTTGTACGCTCTCTTATCTTCCTTACCTCATTTGTATTATTATTGTCCTTTTTTCCTTTTTGCCACATTGGTAACAGCGTTTCTTGCTATCATTTTCTCCAGGATAGAATAGTTCCAGTAGCTTCTATATGACTGGTAAAGCTGCATTAATGCAGCTTTGTAGAATAACCTTTGAGTGGACTTCTAACATTGGTTGTTCTAGACATAGGCACACCTTTGTTGACATTTGACAAGATGCAGCAGATTTTTTTTGTTATTTAGTAAAAGTGTAAAAGGGTGAGTGTTTTCTTTTCCTCCACAGTGAGCAGGTTAAGCCTGTAAGTGGAGGAAATTGTTTGTCTTGGTTGAATATTACAAATATGTTTTTCAGAAAATCTTGCAATCTTATGCACTGTAAATGAACTTTCAGCTAGGTAATTTCTTTTGTATATTAGTGTTAACTGTATTTTCTTTTTACTCACAATGTACTATATCCATCACTAAAATACCTAAACAAGACAGCTTCAAAATAACTAGTTGATTATCATTGTTCCTCTATTTAGTGGCATTTTTATTAGGATTTGTGATGATGACATCAAAGCACTTCACTTTGAAGCCACACAAATCCAATAATGATATCTAAGGGCTGGATGCAATGAAATGCATATTTTGGTATCTGATTATAAACAAATGATATCATATGCAAACAGGTAGATATACACAACTTTTACCCAGCCTTTCTTTCAGTGATCTTACATTCTCTGGGCAAGGACTAGATGCTGTATTTAACTGTTAATCTTCAGACTAGGACCATTTCTTGTTTTAAAAAAGTCAAAGAAAGCTAAAGTCAAGCAGAATTGGTTTTGTAAAAATAGGAGAAGAATCACACCTTAGACTAGCACTCCTAGGTTTCTTTGTTTTGAAGGTTTGCAATTTCTTGTGCCGTCTAGTAGTGCCCTGGTCCGCGCTTGTGCTGGTACCATACAGGTTCATACCAATATATTGTGTGTCCATATGTTGCCATGTGCGGAGTCTCGAAAAAAGCCCAAAAGCTGATTGAAAAACAAAAAAAGAAACTGTCCAGTGTACGGCCTGTACCACACTACCTGGTGGTACAGACCTTGCATCGGATGTACTGCATGATTTACCCTGGTCTGGTCCATATATCAGCAAGATGATGGATCAGTAAATATTGTCCGTACCCAACCTGACTGGATGATGTTGCAAACCTTGCTTTGAAGGATGTCTCTCAGCTTCTAAGTCACTGTTAAATTTTTTCCATATGGATCTTTATCTTTGATTTCTTCACATGATTTATTTACGAAGAAAGCATTAAAGGCTTTGGCAATTCCAAACTGTAGTTGAAATCTAGCCTTTATGAAGGAGGAATCTTATAAAAATATGTAGAACATGAAAAATATTAGAAAGAGTACCAGTTTGTAAGTTTGTGATTTTGATTGCTATGATGAGAATCAAATTTGCTAAATCCAGTTTACAAACTAAACCTGAAATCATGGTTTGCCGTACCGAACAGTACCGCCCGGTACGGGCGGTACGTACCGGTCCGACAGACTTTCGGTACGTGGACCGCCTCTTACCGTTCCGGTACTGTAGCAGTACTGTAGTACTGTAGCACTGCTACAGTGCTCGGCACACCCGGGTGTACCGCTCGGTACACCTCGGTATACCGGTCGGTACACCCGTACCGTACCATACCGAGCGTGGGTCGAAACGCCGGTACGGTACGGTACGGCGAACCTTGCCTGAAATCATTTTGTTTTTGAGAAGCCAGACCCTCATACCGGTCTAATCTTTGAATTTTATCAACTGGTAGTTCTCAATCATAACTCTTTTTAATCATGCTTGAGTCTCTCTATGTATTGCATCACCATTTATTTAGAGACATTTTCTAATCAGTCTTCCCATATACACAACATGAATCTCTCATCCAATTGAAATTGAGTGGTTTTCTGGTTTATCATCTTTTGCATGAATGCCCGTATAGAATTTTTTTATATGGTTTATGAAGCATATCATAGGTAGCATTGACCATCTAATGCAGCTGTGTATGCAATTAGTACCTGCATTTTGCTTATAGATAAAACTTGTTATTAGTAAATTTGCCACTTCTAATTATAATTTATGCATGTTATGAAGATGTTTAGTTGGTAATCTAAAAAGGTCTATGTTCTATGGGAAACTAGCCGAGACTTTATGAACACACTGAGAGAAGACATCAGTATATGGAGCTGTGTATGAACACACCGAGACTTTTCTGGTTTATCATCTTTTGCATGAATGCCCGTATAGAATTTTTTTATATGGTTTATGAAGCATATCATAGGTAGCATTGACCATCTAATGCAGCTGTGTATGCAATTAGTACCTGCATTTTGCTTATAGATAAAACTTGTTATTAGTAAATTTGCCGCTTCTAATTATAATTTATGCATGTTATGAAGATGTGCAGTTGGTAATCTAATAAGGTCTATGTTCTATGGGAAACTAGCCGAGACTTTATGAACACACTGAGAGAAGACATCAGTATATGGAGTACTTTTTATTTGTCTTTTCAATGTTAACAAGAAAAATGGTTTAAAGGAAACATCTACAGCGTGGTACAAGTTTTGCAATGGAACAAATTATCGGGCTAAATTGCAGCATGTGGCTTTAATCTAATTTTTGTGGTTTAGTTCAAGAAAGTAAACCTTTTGGCTGACTAGCTAACTGAATAACCCTCTCTTTCTCCCTTCTTTTTTTTTTTGCAATAATATGGTTGTTGGCTGTTAGTTCTTTGCTTCTATGCCACTTTGATGCACCTGGAGTCCAAATGATGGTGGTTTTTTATCTTGAAGTATATATACCATGCTTGTCTTTTTTGTTAACATCACTATTATATTTGTGTGAACTCGAAAGTTATAGTTCCATAAGCACTAGAAGAACAAATTGACAGGTTGGACACAACAATATCTGGGTCATCAAAACAAGAAAGCAATGAGGGAAGCCGCCTTTTTAAGATCATGGCCAAGTCCTTCTCAAAGAGATGGCAAAATGGAGAAATTAGCAACTTTCAGTACCTCATGCACCTCAACACTCTTGCAGGACGTGGCTATAGTGATCTTACACAATATCCAGTATTTCCATGGGTTCTTGCAGATTATGAGAGTGAAACTTTGGATTTGAAAAATTCTCGGACATTCCGTAAACTTGATAAACCAATGGGATGTCAAACAGCAGAGGGAAAGGAAGAGTTTAGGAAACGGTTAATCCCCTTTACTTGTCCATTAAATCTAGTTGTTCTGGTTCAGATAACCTTTTTGGTAATTCTTATTTCTCTTTTTTTTTTTTTTTTGTCTTATCAGATATGAGACTTGGGATGATCCTGATGTCCCCAAGTTTCACTATGGTTCTCATTATTCTAGTGCCGGAATTGTACTTTTCTATCTTGTTAGGCTGCCACCATTTAGCACTGAAAATCAGAAATTACAAGGGGGGCAGTTTGATCATGCAGACCGTTTGTTTAATAGTGTGAGAGATACATGGTTAAGTGCAGCTGGAAGAAGTAACACATCGGATGTGAAGGAACTGATCCCTGAGTTCTTTTACATGCCTGAGTTTCTGGAGAATCGCTTTAATCTCGACCTGGGTGAAAAACAGTCAGGCGAAAAGGTAAATTTTGAGCTAAATCAGTGTCCTGGTGTTTTTTGCTTTTGCAGTGTGAGAAAATATGCACACAAGGTTACCTTGACTTTGGAGAAAATTACTTGTTGGCACCTTTGCATTGAGATTCATATGAGACTCTTTTTCAGGTTGGTGATGTTGTTCTGCCCCCTTGGGCCAAAGGCAGTCCTAGAGAGTTCATAAGGAAGCACCGGGAAGCCTTGGAATCAGATTATGTTTCGGAGAATCTGCATCACTGGATAGACCTCATCTTTGGATATAAGCAGAGAGGGAAGGTGGGTATACTCTGTGATCTTGCAATTTATAGATTTCCCTGATTTTGTTTTATGGGTTGAAACGAACTTATCCTTTACTTGTGCAAAAACTATATGTATTTGAAAGACTTTTTCTCCCAAATACATAAGAACATTTTTGACCTAGTTGCGGAAATTAATTCTGAAATTGTAAACAAGGATTGACCTGTCGCCCGTTGCAACTGAAGGCTGTCAAGGCAAATGTTGTTAGTGCTAGGAAGGCTAGTGAGGTTCAATTATGCAAGCCCTTATAGTTCTACACATTCCCAATCATTTATGCAACCTCTATTTGTTCATTATTTCCACACCATGGCTTATCTCTTCAGTTTGGCTAATATCCATTGAACTTTCTTTCAACCGCATCAATATTCATCCTAATTTAGACAATTCGACCCATAAATGCTTCCAGTGTTATTGATCAAGGCTCTTGTAAGAAGAATTTACTGTCAAGACTTTCTAGGATGTGTGGATGGTTGGAGTGTTCTGGAATATGAACGAGTCTTCACAATCTCATAGAGATTTCTTTTGACTATGCTGGTGACTTACAATTTTATATTTCTGATATTGGTGTAGTATAAAAATAGTTGAAACAAATGATCTAGTAGCCATGAATGTCGCCTTCCTTGAGCTGTAGATGCATCATTTCCAGAAACATTTCATGTTGCTTAAAACCAAAATTGTAGAAGAGTTTTGCCTTACTCTGATTTACAATATGAAAATGACCATGTAAGCATTCATCCAACCAATCCTTATTTTCTTCATCCTGACTTTTACAGGCAGCTGAAGATGCTACTAACGTTTTCTATCACTACACATATGAAGGAAATGTGGACATAGATTCAGTCGAAGACCCTACCATGAAAGCCTCAATCCTGGCTCAGATAAATCATTTTGGTCAGACACCTAAGCAGTTATTCCTGAAGCCGCATGTTAAGCGCCGAACTGACAGGAAAGTTCCCCTTCACCCTCTTCGTTACAGTGCCAGTCTCGTCCCGCATCAAGTCCGGCGGTCTTCGTCTTTCATCTCTCAGATTGTGACATTGAATGAAAAGATTCTTCTAGCTAGAGCAAATAGCCTACTCAAACCGGTGACATATAACAAGTACATATCTTGGGGGTTTCCAGATAGAAGCTTGAGAATTATGAGCTATGACCAAGACAAACTTCTTTCCACTCACGAAAATCTTCATGGTGGAAACCAGATTCAATGTGTCGGGATCAGTCATGATGGTCAGATTCTGGTGACTGGTGCTGATGATGGTGTTGTTGCAGTTTGGAAGTCCGACAAAGATAACCACCTGAGTTTGGGGAGGGCCCTCTGTGCCCATACTGGCAAGATAACATGCCTCCATGTCAGCCAGACTTACTCACTCATTGTGACAGGCTCTGACGACTGTAGTGTGATTCTGTGGGATCTAACAAACTTGGTCTTTGTGAAGCAGCTTCCTCTGTTCCCGGCACCAGTCTCGGCTGTCCATGTGAATGAACTTACAGGAACAGTTTTGACTGCTGCAGGGATTCTTCTTGCAGTTTGGAGTGTCAATGGGGACTGCCTCACGATGATGAATACCTCACAACTCCCTTCGGATGTCATTTTGACAATAACAAGTGCGGCATACTCCGATTGGCAGGACACAAACTGGTACATGACGGGTCACCAGAGTGGAGCAGTCAAGGTCTGGAACATGGTGCATTGTTCCACAGACGAGGCCAACAGGAGCAAGTCACCAACAAATGGATCGGGACTGCTGAATTTAGGTGGGAGGTTGCCTGAGTACAACTTGGTTCTGCACAAGGTACTCAAGTCCCATAAACATCCTGTCACGGCACTTCATCTTACAAGTGATATGAAGCAGCTGTTGAGCGGTGACTCAAGCGGACACTTGCTGTCGTGGACCCTTTCCGACAACAGCTTGAGAGCTTCTTGAGGCTACAAACGATGGCCCATCGAATCAATCTGCTAGTGTTCGATAACATCGGTCCTCAAGCTTAGGACTAAGTTTTGATCACTCAGTGACACCATCTGGGCGAACAGAAGTCACCGAGGGCTGGCCTGAAAGTCGTAGCGAAAGAAGAGATTTGTTGATGGTCACGGCACAGCTCCATTAACTAAACAGAGTCCGGGCACATACACACGATATTGGTGGTCGACAGATGATCGAGGTGAGATATGATAGAAAAGTGAATTTAGCCAATTATTTTCTTTATTTTTCTCCCTTCTGTGGCAAGGCATTGCGAGCAGGGAGGCTTCTTCAGAATCCAAGGCAGTCGATGCCGGTTTGCCTGTTTTGGTGTAAATTGGTGATCGATTAATGCTCTATCAAGTTGTATAGAGCCATCATATAATGAATGTTTTGGGAGCTGTGATGGGTTGTAGAGATTTTTAAGTGCGAGGAAGGGGTTTCATATATGACCATTTGATTGATTATGGTATTGTCTTTGGTGATCATTCCTTTGAGGTACTATCACAAACTAGTAATCCACAACTACCTTTTGTCATTATAGGCCTAAATGTCATTATTCTAACAATCAAATGCTATATATTAATAACTAAACGATGTATGTATGTATGCATGTATATATTCATTCTTGAATCGGAGAATAGGCATTCGAGTTGGATTTGGGATTGGATTAAGCTCAGTTTAGCACAAGCAAGCCACTGCTCGTTGAGTACGCTAATGGAAGACAGATATCCACCCAAGAACAAGTAAAACAGCATCGCCATCATCATCAAATCCTCAACTGTGGCTTCCGCTTCTTTGGTGACCCTCCCCTCGCCCCCACCTGCGCGAAACAGAGGGGACGAGACGTCGACACAGACTGACCACATCATATGCCTCTCTGCCCGTTCCCCACCCCAAAAGAAACCAAGTCACCCGCGTGAGCGCGTCCCATTCACGACTCCACTCTCGTGGCATCGTCTGCTACAGCAGCGACCACAAGTGACCGGGCTGCCTTCGTGGACCCCCTTTGCTGGCGGAAGCCCATCTCGTGTTATCCTCCGCCCTACGCGCCACGAGTTTGCCCACCTACGACTCGGTGGTGGTCGTTGTCAACAAACTTCCGTTACATCACAACCGTCCAAATTGCATCCGAGCGCTAGCGGTTTTTGTTCCTTTGTTTTGCCCTCTAGAAGAGCAGCTTGCGGCGGGGGGTCGAGGGGGCGGCGGCGGCGGCGAGGTCGCGGATGGTCTCCGCGACCACGTCCTTAAATATCAGCCGCTCGATGTGGAGGACGGCGTCGGACATCTCGGCGGCGTGGCGGGCCCACCCGTCCGCGAGGGCCCCGGACATGTCCTTCCGCACGGCCCCGCACGCCACGGCGTCTTGGTCGTCGTCCGCCACCTGCTCACGGATGCGCCGTACCTCCGCCCACACCTCCCGCAGCAGCGCCTCCTCCTCCCCGCAGCCACCCGGACAAGGCCCGGGGGGGCTCGAGAAGGCGTCCCACGGGGGAACCCGGCGCTTGCGGTCCAGCATCTCGGACACGGTGTCGAAGACGACGCGTCGGTGGAGGCGGGCGGCCTTGGACGCCTCGGCGGGGCGCCGGCAGCGGCCCTTCTCCAGGGTCGCGTACACGGCGTCCGACGCCTCCCCGTAGCGGCGGGTGGCGCGGACGACGTCGCACGCGTAGGCGTAGTCGCGGTCCACGGCGTCGGCCCCGCTCTCCACGTCCCCATGATTCGTCCACGCCCGTGGAGACCACTGCTCCCCCTCCCAATCCTCCGCCGCTCGATCTGCGGAACAGATTACACCAATATTCGCGTTCACGATGAGATTCGGAGGATATAAAAAAGCGTGATCAGGAAAAATACGAATCACAAAGCCAGGAAAGGCGGTGGTCACCTTTGAAGTCGATGGAGCGCTTGGAGAGGGGGGACGGCGAAAGCGACCCTTCCTCGGCAAGGAAGGCCGACGAGTCGAGCACCGAGACAGGGCTCGGCTGCTGGTCCGCAGCGGCGACCTGCTCCGCGCCGGTGAACGCCGCGATGCTGTGCAACAGCTTGTCGCATCGATCCAACAGGCTTCGCCCCGATCTGTACTCGCCCGCCCTCGATCTCCTCTGCATCACCTGCCCACCCTCATTTCACTAAGCACTCGGAACTCCATAAACGCAGTTGAAGAGAAATGTATTCGCTGTACCTCCAAATCCAGTTGGGAGGAGACGCTGATGCTGCTCTCGGAAAGGGTGGTGGAGGTATCGTCCTCCGCGGATGCGTAAACCTTCTCCTCGGGAGACGAAGGCGCCGTTGGCCTCCGGCTCCTCGGCGATCGGACGGCCAGCGGATCCGGCCCCGTCATCTTCGGACTACATTTTGGGGAACCGACTGTCGAGATCCTCCGTTGTGCCTGCACGCTCTTCTGGGTCGCCGCATTTGACGTCCTCCGAAGCACCGGTGAGCTCGGGCTCTCGGGCGACCTCGGCGCACGATTCGTCCGCTCGTTTCCTCCCCTGATGGTCCGATGCACCGGCGATATTTCGCGCCTGAGTGGCGAAGAGCTCTGGCGAGCGGCGACGGATCTTGGCGGCTCGCTCGAGCGCCGGCGCGGGGGCTTGGGTGCCGGCTTCATGATGACGATCGGAGTTTCGCCTTGGATCCGGCCCTCGTAGTCGGAGATGAGATTGCGGCGACCGGTGACGCGATGGTCCGACCGTTTAGAATGGAGGAGCCCCTTGAGCTGGAGCGCCTCCAAGATTTGCTTCAGAGTCTCCAGGTCCTTCGCCGGCTCGTCAATGCCTCGCAACCTGAGCCGCTTCTCGATCTCGCCGTAGAGGGTTACTGACCGCTTCGGCTCCGGGAAGAAGTCCTCGGCATGGAAGAAGATCTTCCGCTGGAGCGGCTGAAGCGGGGTACTTCTCAATGGCGGCTTGGCCTTCGTCGCGTCGTTTAGCCTGAAGCGGGCCAGATTGACCGTTTTAAAGAGCTCCTCAGCGGAGACCCGGGCGGCTTCCTCCGCGGCCGGCGACGGCCACGGCTTGTGGAACGATCCTGCGTCCACGAACCCGTAGATCGATGGATCTCTCCGAACCCGTGACTCGGAGGCGGATCGCCGTAGCTCGGCCCGGTGAGGCTCTGCTCGTCCTTCCCCGCCGGCGCTTGGTAGGACACCGAGCCCCATTAGCCTCGCGACGACGCTCGGGGAACGCCGCTGCTCCTCTGTGGCCTCGGAAGCGTCAGTTTGGTTCTCGGAGCGTACCGGCACCGCCGTCCGGATCTCCCGCGGGCGGAGCTTTCCTCTCGCGTCAACCACCGCGCGGCTGTCGAGAGAAAGCCTCGGAATGTCCCGGATCCTCCAGGTAGTGCTCACTCCGTCCGTGACCTCGAATACCGGGAGCGACAGCGGAAGCGACCGCCGCGCCGGTGTTTCTGCCGCTGAGCCTCTCTCCGGCGAAGAAGGGCAGGGCTCCGGCGACGACGGAGGAGGATGGCTCTCCTTCAAAATCGAAGCCGAGGAAGCCTCCGATCTCTCCGACGGCGACGTCGATCCAGCAGTCTGAAATCACCAACCAACCGTCAGAAGACAAAACGAAACGCGTCTAAAACCGCACCCTTTCTGCCGAACCCTCACCGGCGACGTGGGAAGGCGGTGGACAGAGTAGTGCCGCCTCCCGGCGACGCCGTGATGGCGGTCGAACAGCTGGAGGAACCCGGCCATGCACCCCATCTGCGGCTCCAGGCGCTGCTCCTCGAGAACCCCTCCCTCCCCGACGACACCGGGCGTCATCTCCCTCCTCCGCCTTTCTTCTTCGGCGATGCTCCGCCGCCCTTGTCAGGTCAGATCTCAACCTCTTCTCTCAACTCCGCCTCACTCCGCACGCATTCACATGGGATACTTCAGCCTCGCATTCATTCGTTCATCGCGACTCCCGCTAAAGACCTTTTAAAGTGGAGATCGGCACCCAAATGACGGTATTGCCCCCGAAACGTCGGATTCTAAGTGATAACGAGGAGAGCGAGAGCATACGCCTTTCGAGCTACGGGTGAGTTTGACCGGATGACGACGAATCGAAACCTCCACAGCAGGCAGCTAACAGTCACTGCCACTGATATAATTATAGTTATAATCACAATCCACCTTATTCTAAATCACTAATTAGCTGACGTGTAGTCTATATGGCAGTCTTGTAACTATACATCAATTTCTTAGCTAATATCAACGACGCAATCCGAATAGAATTAAAAGGTTCGAATTAAGCCATTTACTTTAGCTTTTGGGTTTAGCATGTTAACCAACAATCACGTCATCACTCAACTTTATACGTCACATTAACACGCGTCACGAGATCTGGCGTCGGGTAACCGTGCCACGTGACCCTGACAACTATCGCTGTCTCCCCGCGACCAGTGACACCGGTAAGGAGTCCTCTCCGGTGACCACACTCGCTTTCCCCATCCCCGTTCTCTCTCTCTCTCTCTCTCTCTCTCTATATATATATATAGCATTTATCGACACAATATGTTCTAATGCAGCTTTTATTTATGTTCACAAGCTATTATTATATATAGGAATTTAGACGGTAGAAAATAAAGAATGTAATGAATTAGTAGTAAGCATACAAAAGAAAAGAAAAGCGTTGTCCTCAGGAAAGGAGGAAAAGGAGCATTGGAGTTGATTCAAGGAGCTAAATGGGCGTATTATGGATTCCGTCATGAGGACACGACCCCCGTCACGTTAGTCCAAGTGTGGGCTCTCAGGAGGAAGACGCAGTGTCACGATGAATGCACCATCAGAAATCCGGAGTAACAATCGTCCTCCTCCCACGTCGTTTGGCGTCGCACCAACTATCGTCGCAATAAGGACCGCTTCGGGAAGCTCGGACGATGCCGCATGACACCATCCCACATATCTCGGGTGACGAATGTTTGAAGGTACGCTCATTGTTCGAGGAGTCGATCGTCATGCCAAGGTCGTGTACGATCGACCTCCAGACACTATGAAAAACCCCTTGCCAACATCTGACAAGGAGCATCTAGAATATTAGCAAGCCACTAAGTTGATCTTTGGAGGGATCTAAGTCGAGATTCCCCTCACGGGACAGCGTTGTACTCGGTGGGTGTTGTCTCGGCCTTTGCTGAACGGCAGTGTACTCGATCGGTGCCATCCCGACCTTTGCGAGACGGTGCTGTACTCGATCGGTGCCATGCTGATACGATCTTTATGGGTCGGTGTGATACTCGTTCGACGTCATCCCAATTTTTGCGGGACGATGTTGTACTTGGTCAGCGCCGCCCGACCTTTATGGAATTGGCATTGATTGGGGGTAGATTTCCAAGATATGCCGTATCAACGTAACATTCAAAAGAAAAGAAAAGCGTCGTTAGGAAGGGATGAAAAGGAGCTTTGGGGTTGATTCAAGGAGCCATATGTGTGGCTGCCTTGGAGATTCAGAAGAGAATAAAAGAATCTGTTACCCCAAGTGGCATGAATAGACTAACCAATATGAGATCTACATAAAAGTCCAAAACGAAGACGTCACACGAACTGTAGCATGCAACTGTCACAAGCTGTACGCCCATTGGATCGGAGATGAATAGGCTATATTTCAATGTTAATCCCTTAGGGAATTTGAGTTTTAATATGACTACAATCATATTATCATGCATGCAAAGTCATCATTTATCTATCTTAATCACATCAAACTAAAAGGGTGTGAGTCTTCTCTTCCGTGTTGAATGTGCAATCTATTTAATAGAGAATCTCTTGAATCAATGTTGAACATTCAACATTCATGTAACAACACATCTGATGAGAATAATAATTATGATAAGACTCGCGTGACATTAGTTATCCCTGACGTCTCTCGCCTCTATTAACCTCATGAGGCACCCGGTCAAAGCGGACCGGAACACCTACCAAGGTGCATTAACACCCTATTCAGGCTCGATCCCCCACGCCACGCCAACGGCAATGTCAGACGCTACCAGAAGTACGATCCTGCTCTCTGCGGGCAAGCACATCATACAACGATAATTCTCGATATAAAAACCCTCGCGCGCCGAGGAGAAGGGAGAGGCACAAGAGAAGCAGAGACAACTTGGCTAAAAAAGAGCGAACCCCCCACGACCACTCACTAACTTGATCGTCGGAGGGGTCGGGGAGCTCTTGCCCGGAGGGAATAGCGATCCCATCCCAATCGGAACATCGTGATCGGTCACCTTAACAGTCGGGAGGAGCGTCCAGAGAGATCCTCGTCATCCGAACCCAAACCAAATAGCGTCGATCTCGAGGCCACGACTTAAGATTATTTACGCTAACAACATCGAACAGCATAAGCTGACGCATATGCTGTACTGAAATTGGTGGTCATTATAAACGGCCAACATGGCGGGACGTATCAATCACCTCATATCCGCGTCCTCCATGGGTCCTACGGAGATGGGAGACACACCCACCGTCCGTTGTGTGTTTGGTGGGCCTCGTGCCCCGACGCACATACAAACAAAACAAAAGGCTAAAAGGACCAAATCAGGGTGCCCCATCTCCCTTGCTCGTCCACGTGGGCTGGCTATCTCACCCCTTTCTCTTTCTCTCTCTCTCTCTCTCTCTGACTGTGTGTGTCACGTCACTTCTTCTTTACATGTCTCTCCACACATGAAAGGTTTCAGAAAGCATGCATGGCTTTTGGTGCGTGGCTTTTCGTTGATCCCACACCCCACATGCATCCATGCAGGCACCAACGTGCACCACTGACCACCACCGCGGCCACGTCCCCGCCCCATCGCGATCTCCTCCGGCCAACTATAGTCCAAGCTCCCATCCTGGCCGTCCGATTCCCCCCCGGCCTGCTGCCCTTACAACAATAATGGGGTTGGATGCCCCCCCACCTTCACAAGTTCCCATGAGAAGCCGGTGATTTGAATGCGGATGCCACCAACAACCGAGGCTCACTGCACGGCTCCCAACCTTGGCACGCTCCCATGTTCTTCCACCCACCCACTCCTCTCTCTCTCTCTCTCTCTCTCTCTCTCTCTCTGACCACATTCCTTATATCTTCTTCTTCCCCCCTCACCACCTTTCACTGCACTCTCACATTCCATTGTACCTCCCATAGAAAAATAAACTAACGTGTGAGAGAGAGAGGAGAGCCTCCGTTTGTTTATTTCTCTCATCCCCATATTTTAGGGTAAATCCTTTTGGCATTTGTGAGATATGGAGATCTAGCTTTTGATTCCACTACCGGTAGGGATTCAATGAACAAAATCTCCTTCCAAATCTAGTTAGATTTGCTTGGTACATTCTTGAAATGCTAAGCCATCGGGCTAGAGAGCTATGCCTTGGGTTTTTGTTGAACTGCTCTATGCCATTATCTTTTTGTTCCGGTCACATGTAGCCAGCCATAAGACAATGCGTCCTGCTCTGTGACCAAACGAGTGGGCTTGTTGGCTAATCTGACCTCCGCTTGTGTCGTCGATCTCATAGTGCACTCCGTGATACAAAGTCGATTAGCTTCAACATGCGGAAGCTGTTTAGGAGAGAAATCTCCATCGCCCTGTGGAGTTACAACGACTCGAAAAGTCATATTTTTGGATCAACCTCAAACTTCAAAATCATGCATCGGAGTTGGGAGATTTTTGTAACCGGTCAGGATCCAACTTTGACATGGGTGTCTGGGTTCCATCTCGAGAGGTGGGCCCACGTCTGATCTAGTCGGACTTGGTGGTCCCAGTGGCATCATCCTTTTGGCACAAAGAATCCGTCGTTTTGAAGGGATGACCCATGTGTTAGAAAGATGCACACTGCGAGCATCGTTAGTTAATGAGGAGGGGGGTGGGAATCTTTTGGGAGTGGCCTTGGGAGGCAACAACAGCATATGACTGGAATGGGAGGCAGGGCCGCAGGGGCATGTACGACTCGCCCTGCAATAAATCTGCTGTGGTTTTGGCAGTGACAACATGGGGCACTTTGTGTTGGGACAACCAATGAGGACAAAGGGATATGGAAAACAGAGGTCCCATGATTACATCACCCCTCCATTTGAATAATGGTTGGTCTTCTCGCTCCCTCCTGTGCTCGGGATGGTGAAGCCAAGCCAAGCCAGAGATTAAGCCATCCTAATTCTCCTGTTTCTGACATGGGGAGAGGTGCCCACCACCTCACATGGCTCTTGTTGGATTTGTGGATAAGAGGCAGACAGAGAACAAACTTTCTATTGGGAGGGAGTCAGAAGTGGGAATAATTAATGGAGGCTGCAGCTGCAAAACCATGAAGCACAGACTCCCGTGTTGGCAATTATGATACCTGATGTCATCTTATCAGGACGGACACCCACACACACACTTGACTGTGTGGATATATATATAATCTATCTTCAGTCACTCTATCGAAGTCCTGAACCCAACCGAAGTTGAATCACAAGGTCCGAGTCGTCGAATCGACTGATCCCAGTGACGTCTCAGGTAGGTCATGTAATATTCTGCAGAGGGTGAGGACAGACAGGCTCTTGGCAGGTCATTGCATCTTCCTCCTGATGATCGCTAAGAAGCAAACACAAGGAGGACATGAAGTATCTTGAAGGTGAAGAATTGACCCACTTGCCAGTTCTGTAGGATAGGAACAGCAATCCATGTGACATCCCTTGCATCGGATCTATGCTATCACTAGCCATATGTGATCTCATACGCTTGAAGAAGAACCATTGTTCAATGTCCATCAGAGAATGTGCACGCTTGAAAGGGGTGCTATGGAAGGCAAGTTTGGGCAAGATTTCCAAGTAAAATGTCAGG